CTTATGCCACGGAAATCCGTGATTGATGAAAGTACAATTGGCTTTTCCGACGCTTAATTATACTGTTGGATGACGTTCTTGGATATGTTGTATCAAGCAGCTACCTTAATGTAATTATCTTATTTCAGTGACTAATGACGTAACGTATAATTAAATTCACTTATGATACATCGTCTCGTTTAAAACATTAATCGTAATAATTGGTAGTGTGCTAGTCGTAGTAATCGTAATAATCTTCATAGTAATCGTACGTTACATACGGGCAGACCTTAGGACTATCGCAATTATTTATATAGATAATTTATGTATAATAACTTGATTTCTTTTTTTTCTTTTCTTTACATTCAAAAGATTTTTAATTGGGAGGCATTTTAGGTGTGGGTCTTTTTACATGTACAAACTTTTTAACGGTACCGAAAGGGTACGTTCGTAATAATACGTAATTTTTTGGTTTATATCAACAGTCGTTACACGTCTTTTCATTTTATATAAAACAGTTGTTTATAATAATATAGTTAAATATTTTCTCATTTCAATATTCCTAGTGTTTTATAATTTTTTGGTTTTTATTGTGTGTGTGTGTGTGTGTGTATGTGTCTATTTCTCGTTCACCACCCGCCCATATGCCTTCACCTTCGTTTCTCTTACTCTTGGAACTTTCGTTCTCTTTCGCTCTGACTCTTCGATTTCCTATAGTAATTTTTCTAGTTTTTCCTAATTTCGGTCTCCTGTACCTTATTAGTCGCTGTTCCTATGCCAATAGCTCGTATGACTTTCGAATGACGAGCGTATGTTTTATTCACGCCATCAACTCAAAATTTTACATTGCCAAGGCGCTCACTCGTGCCGTCACTTCTGGTGGCACGCAGTATCTGTATATAGTAAGTCCTACTAACTCTTAATCAATTCACCTACTTACTCGACTTTGTATTCGTTAATCAAAAAATATTCTTTACTCCGAACGTCAAAGTAGTATCCACGGGTTCGTCTGTTCTCTGCACGAAAATTTTTTTTTTAACATTATCGTTTACGGAAATGGAATAATGCAATTGATAATCTCAAAATTGGTGACGGTGCTGCACCAAAAAAAATCATGATGAACCAAGGCTATGAACAATTTTAAAAAATGGAGTGGTACGTTTCTCCTTCATTTTTTTGGGGATTTTTATTATTTCCGTAGTAACTCGTAGTATCGCGACGCGCAGGGCCGAGCGAGTATCGAAAATGAGTATTGGGATTTTGAAATAGAGAAAATGAAATTTTCTTTTATTTTCCCTTTTTTGATTTCAGTGCCTTCAGTATTTACGACCGTTCATATACGTACGAGGACATACGTGGGGGAGATGATTTGTTCACGGGTCTTAATTAATACACTATGACGCCTCGAATCCGCGATTCGTACAGATGCAATTTTATTTACATTTATCTGAGTATTTAATTGGAACACTTCAATTTTATTAAAACGCCACGCTTCTCACGAACAATCGGATGATCACGTTTTTCGCGCATCCGTAACGGATTTTAACGATCGGTTTTTCTGTACTAATTTTTCGTTTCTCTTTCGTTCTTACGATTAACAAAGCATTTCACGATACCTGGAGTCCGGCACCCACCTCAATGGACTCACGCCGATGGTCCTTGCAAACTTTTACGAATTAAAGATTTTTCAAAATTACTGTAGCACCCCGTGACGATCATACCTTAAATTTTACCTACTCGCCATGACTCGATCCTCCTTAGCCGTCAAAAAGAATGCAGATTAGAAGCGAGAGAGCGCGAAAGAAAATTGTGCCAACGCAGATCGTTACTTTCGCGAAAAGTGTCTTGACGATCTTTTTTTTCTTGGTAAAAAAAATTTGTCTTCGCATTTAGTCTGGCCAACGAAAGAAGATAAGCAAAGCCCTTGACGCTCTTAACGAGAAAAATGTCGTCCCGAGGAGAGTCCTTAAGATTTTTGAATTTTCGATACCTCAAGCGAGTGCGAGAGAGACAGACCGATTGGTGAATGCATGGATAAGACAAAGACGGACAGACAATCGTTTCAAATCGAGCGAGTAACAAATATATTTTCTAAATTCGACTTTATCCTATTCGTGCAATTTTAAGAATTAAGGATCTTCTTGTGCTATTAGGATAAGAGCATGATATCAATGAAGTAATTAATAAAATCATCTTCATCGTCAACTTGAATTTTTTTCTTGTATCGTCGATGTGGTTACACGTGTCCGAGTTTTCGTTCGAGAATACCAGCCAGTTCTGATTCTTGGTCGAAATTGGTCTAAAGCGCCTTGCCCGGTTGCACGTCATATCGGCATTGCGGTTTACCCCTAAATAATGGGATCTCGCGAGAACGCGGGTATTACGCGGAAACCACATGCATATTACAATGATTACGTATTGTTCGGCCGACTAAGAGTGGCGCGAGGAAATTATTAACGAAACGTACCGGAAGGGCACGGAAGTGCGACGCCGCGTAAAATCCAAGGTATCCGGACTGTGTACGCTTTCCATCTACGTAACGTAACCTAACGTAACGCGAAGGAAGCATCGCTACGTAGCTGATTGACTAATACGATAATTAATAGCGATAACGATAAATTTCATTAAAATCGTCAGCTCATTTAGTTCGCCGTTGAGAGCGTGCACTCCTGTCAGCTTCCATTACCGGATATTGGCTACGGTGAAAGTTCCGAAAATTGAACTGTATATAAACAGAATATTCCTAAATAACCTAATTGAACGCAATTAAACGAAATTCACGTACAAAAAGGGGACTCCTTCACCATACGTTCGGTCGTGGTTATGATTTTCCTTCGTTAGGTCGAAGCACTTAGAGATCTAGAAAATTTTCGGGAATCTCTGGGTTATCGCCAGCGATCAAACTAAACGAGTATCCGAGCTTCGCCGTTTTACGTAATTTTCACAGGGGAAAATTTAGCGGCATTACCAAAAAAAAAAACTATTCCGTACCCTTGTAAGTATTTTGGGCAATTAATAACCGAGATCGTATTTATCCAATAGATCGGTAGGGAATTGGTGGGAGTGCTACGAAAAATGATATTGAAGAATGCCCGTGCAGAATTTCCACTTGGTCAACGCCGCAGCGTTCTAATCACGCGAGTTTAAATCCTTTGGAAAACGGGGCTTAACTTGGTATCGATTTCCAATCAAATTTAATTATATGCCCAAGTAAGTTTGCTCGTTCGTACGGTACATCCCAGGTGCTTCGTAGCGTCACGGACGACGGAGACTATCCTGATTGACGTATACGCAGTTTGTTGCCACTTAGCCACGTTACACGGGTTTGTCACGTGCGAGGACAAAGGGCGCCGATGTGTCGCGCGATCGCCGCATCGCTTTGAACTTCGTTGTTTCAACAAGTATCGGATGTAACTCGTGCTCTTTGCTGCTGCTCGAGACTGGAGACGATCCGAGCTTTGTTTACCCTTAACGTAATTTCGAATGATCTCGTCTAGCTTTACCCGACGTTCTGTCGCTGTTCGAACAGCGCGACCTGTTTATCGTGAGCCGACAATGTCTCCATCTGTGACATGTGCGTTATGTTATATTAGATCAATCTATTCACGTGTATATAGTATATAGTGCACCGTGCTGTCTCAAACGGGTGAAAGACAATTTTTATTATGATATTGACTGTTATATGTATACGATGACAATCGTCACTCGAAGCTAAATTTTGAATGTAAATTTTTTCAGGTTAGGTTTTGAGGTTAGTCCATTTCTTCGACCGGATTTGATTTTTGTTCTTTTTCCTTTTACCACGATGATACTTCTCGTGCTTTTTCTTTGATCTGTCCGAAAAACAGGGGTGATCCAACTAACAGTTTTTCTTTGTTTTCTTTTTTTTCCTATATAGGGTAAAGCGTGCTTGATAATTATTTCTTTATACGAGACGACTAATTGGCTGAAGGAACGTTAGGATTTTGTTAGGTGAGCGAAATTATAATGGAATTAATAAAGAAAGACGAGAAACGGTATGTACGTAATTATTTGCACTCCGTTAACACTGGCAGAAATTTTGTGCGGTACCAGGGTAAAAGGAGTGTTCAAGCTAACTCTTAAATATCGGATTGACCTTATTTTATTCGATACTACTTTCACGTTTACTCGATCTTCGCTATTTTCCCTATTCCCATTTTCGCATTGATACAAAAAGAAAAGAAGATTGGGCACCCCTGACTTTATTGGCAGTAATTTAAAGGCCGTGTCAGTTATCAAAAAATATCTCACGCCCGTTATATTACGTAGTATGAAAATCCCAGTCACTGTACACTAATTCATAACGATTAATCCAAATAAGTAAATTGACCAGTTCGCGCTGGATAATCGTGCAGGACCCTACGTCAGATCTTGACGACTCGCTTCCGGTTGCGAACAGAAAGCAAAGTATTACAGGAAAAATCTATTACGGCATTTAAGCGTTTCCCACGTCGCTTCACACCTGACACGACCTTCAAGTCAAAATCCTCATGGATTATTTATCTAGAACACTCTCCAATGCGCGTACGCCCTTACCCGCATACATCTATATACATATATATGTACCTTGTGGATGCGTTGCGTTCCATGAGAATATCAAAAAAGCTAAGATAAAGCGATTTTCAAAAGTGTCAATGACGCTCGCGCGATCTCTTAAATAATTCTTGGGCGTTCGTTCCTCTTCCTTTGCTCCCTAAGTCGAAGTTGAAAAACGAAGTTGCTACCGTACCATCTTGCGCACGTAGACAGATTGCTTTTCATATAGTGTTCACGAAGATTTCATAACTGTATCCTTGAACTTGATACAGTATATACATATATATGTATGTACCCGTACATAATATATATATATATATATATACAAAATATACACGCTGCAGGACTCGAGTCGAATGACGTCCAAATTCAGCCGAGGCTTCCAGATCGAAATTCGTCCTTGTTTTCTTCATATATATGTATGTACCCGTACATAATAGACAGATTGCTTTTCATATAGTGTTCACGAAGATTTCATAACTGTATCCTTGAACTTGATACAGTATATACATATATATGTATGTACCCGTACATAATATATATATATATATATATATATACAAAATATACACGCTGCAGGACTCGAGTCGAATGACGTCCAAATTCAGCCGAGGCTTCCAGATCGAAATTCGTCCTTGTTTTCTTCGCGTACCGTTTCCACAGCTGCTACCTCGTCCTGACACAGACATTCATTCCTGAAGAATAATTGTCTACGTTCCCGCTGGAAGAATCCCCTCCCATCGGGTCCCTCTGGCTACGACTTTTCCAATGATACTTTTGGGAATTCGCCCTGAACCTTATGGCTCACATTGACAATTACATACACGATTGGGAGATACACGTTCCTTTTATGTCCTCCGAACGGTTTTTTTTTTTTCTTTTCTTTTCTGTCGCTCAATCCTTTTTTCTTTTTCGTCACATGAAATATCCTACAGATTCATCTACGTTTAGCGTAGTGCACTTGACATCGCGAGTAAGGTGATCTTCTTCGTCAGTGTCTTACCTAGGACCAGGAAGAGGCAGTGGTGGTGTCTTCATTAAAATTTGTTAATGGCTGAGCCTGGGCAGTCTATTACTGGACGATTATATGGGGTGCAGACCAGAGCACGGCTATCGTTGCGATTAACGTGAAGAGGGTGAAGACTATCAGACAAAACCTTGACGTTGAGGAATTCAATGAGGTTAGTGACAGTTAAATAATTTCACACCTACCGACTGATCGTAGAGTTTCGCTATTGGTTACTGACCTATCGACGACCATGGCCGCAAATTTCCAGTCGCTGATCACTTCAGCTTCCTCGTCAGATTTCTTCATACGGCTGGTGATGAACTGTAGCTCCCTGAGAATCGTCTGGAGCTCTCTCTGTGTACCGCTGAGGGGTAGCGACGCCGAAGTCTCCTCGACGGTCGCTGGTCTTCCTGAGAGTGGCGTACTGTACGCCGACCTGCTATCGGGTGCATCTTTTACTATTCGGGAACACTTGTACGCAGTACCGTGGAGATAGATACGAGCATTGAAATATATCTTGTACGGTGATCTAAATGGTATCGATAACGTGGAATGAGCATACATCCAGTAGCAAGGGATGTTCAGTATGTAGTACCAGTCGAATTCAGAAGATCGAGTCTCTGCGATTGGCTAGAGTAGTCTCTATGGGTCCTATAAATCCTTGGGCGAATTTACATTACACGTGTATATATCGCATAGAGTAATCTTTTACGTGTACAGCAGCGGAAGGATATTTCATTTTGTACTTTTTTTTTCTTTTTTTTTTTTTCAAAGTCGTGAATCAACATGCGCCATGGTATTGGATAAGTGTCATCGGAAGTAGGGTGACAGATAAATTTCATCTACTATTTAGAAATGGTACTGCGTCCCTATAGTGATATATTTCAATGGTCGAGGAGAACAAATTTATTATATACTTATATCAGTACCGTATGTATCCTGACGCGGGATTCGCTGCGCTGTTTCCATGACGAAAGTCATCGTCAATGTCCAGCACGTTTGCCAGTAGACTTTTGCTGCTGCGTTCCTGGAGCTCGAGCTCCTTCATCCTGTTGTTCATGAGGATGGTCTTTCTCGTGATTTTTTTACCAGGACGACTCATGCCCAGGATCCACGGTAGCCATTGTAGAAATACCGTCTTGATCTGTGCGTTGACGTCATCATTGATACCGTCATCGATTGGTAATTAAGCATTAACAAAAATCATCGATATAAGTAATTATCATTATCTCTTATCGATAATCAAATGCGATATTTACCCATTGTGGCATTTCGTGTATGTCGGCCGTTCTGTGATGATAGTTGAGGACGACGACGGTAAGGACAACGCTACTAGCCACCATGAACATGATGCAATTGAAATACGTTCCTAAATCGAGGAATTCCCATAATCCCCCCCAAAAAACAGAAGGAAGCGATTAGATCGTGAAGTGGCGTTTTTTTCAAAAAAATAAAAAAATAAAAAAAAATACTTTCTTCCTAAACAATAAAAGATCATCGAGTACAGGATGACTGTTAAGAACTTGAAGATTTCGTCTTTGCTCATTGGCATCCTTAAGATCAGATGTGCCAAGCGCTCTTAATAATCTTTTATTGTTATCTTTTGCTTCTTATTAATCTAAGTCGATTTTATATATATACGACATGGAAATGCGTAGAGACCCAAGCGTCGAAGCGTCATTCGCAAAGCGAACTCAACGTGCTAGCTTTCGAATGACTCTTAACACTGGAGTTTGATTAGGGGCTTACACACGCGTCATGATCACTCTCTCGCAGACACTCTACTGATTATATTCAGTTTAGGGAATCAACCGAACAGCTCACTGCGTGGATTTAGACGTGGGACGGGCGAGCGAATTAAGAGGTCAAAATCAGGAGCACAGCGAGACGAAAGAAAAAGATGAGAAAAAAGAGGATGTGAGAAGGCGGGCACGTGACACAGAAAATAAAAAGAGAAAGACATACTAGGAAATGAGCTTGAACGTTACACATAGAAGAAGCATACTTACTTGTGCGCTTTATATATATATAGAATACATACATGTAGATAAATATATCACAAGACATATAATTTTATATATGTATACACAGTACGTTAGTTGAACATGCATTTATTGTACGATCGTAATGCAAGGTGCATTCAATAACTTTCTTTCTTTTTCTCGAAATTATTAAAAGTCAAGTTTAACATTGTAGACTACCTTTTACAGGATGCTCATTATTTTAATGCAAATTTGCTGTTTTTTTTTGTTTTTTTTTTAATGATTATGTCGGTACTATATAATTGTTCGGACATTTGCAATTTGTTTTCTAAGGAAAGAAAAGATGCGTTAAGCGGTGATATTTTTGTGGTCTGGTCTTACGCAATTCCAGGAGGCTATGCCGTTTGGTAATTGGGTTACCGATATTATGTAATTACTCGATTGGTTACTGGTAATGATATTGAATCTTAATTCTTTAAATACAGCTTGAAGTTGCGCAAGACCAGGGAGCTTGTTAACTGACTTTTTATTTGTTTAGTCGAAATAATTATTGATTAACATACGAATAGAGTTTCGGTTCGATTTTACGAGTTAATTGTCAAAAAGTCAGTTTCCCGTCGGATGAATTTGTGTGAAGCGTGGAATAATGTAAGCAGGGATGTGAAGCCTCCTCTATTATTTAATATACTTTATTTTATTGTCTTTTTTTATCTAGTTCTAGATTATTTTAGAGACGTTTTACATACGTACGATAAACCGTGCGTACTTTAGTTTGCCGGTGCACGTACCATGTATTGACGATAAAATAAAAATTCAAAATCCAGCATATACGACTGGGACGATTTCAATTAAATGGCAAAACGAGCTATAAATTCAATTTGCGAATATAACACGTGAAGTATAACTTTAGCGTCATCGCAGCTATACAAAATTAATTCGAAAATACGATAGATTGCGCCGTCGATTAGCGGCGGAATAAAAATCAATGCCCCGCGCGATTCAATCGAGAAGTGATATTCCTAATACGAGGAATCGATATTGTCGGAAAGTTTGAAAAAAATTGCATCGAAAAAATTTTTTTTCAATTTTTTTTCCTTTGTAGAGTATATGAAAAAAATAACACGATTTCACGGTCGATCTTATCGCGTGACGATAAGCTTGATTATATTGTAAATTAATCACAGAGACCCGCAAGCTTTTGCCGTAATCTTGATAATTGGCTTTTTCGCGCTTCCAATCAAGTGACGTAAAACACGCGCATCGGCTGTCTTGCGCGTCGTATGCTTTGTCGAAAAAATTAAAACGATTATGCAGTCGATAAATTTGAGAAGCAGCGGAGCCGTAAGTTTTTCGAGAAGTCTAAAACCCTCTATTCTACACTAGTGACACTATACGAGATAAAAATATAAAAGATAGCATGTAAGGTGTATATGTTACGTTCCCGTTACTTTCTTCAAGCCCATCGTATACGAAAGGTAATTAGATCTTGTGAGACAACATAATCATGCCAAGCAAAGAGACGAGTATCAACTTCTTACACTTGCTGCATTTCCACTGCACGATAACAACCGGATTAAGAAGGCTTGTATAGTCAAAACAGAGTGATTATAGTAGTACGTTATAATAATCAAGAAGACTTTTCGATTTTAGGGCATAATTGACTATTTGATTGATCGAAAATCAAAAATTTATATAATCGATACAAATGGAAAAGAAAATCGTGTGTCTTTCGTATTCGGAAGATCTTTACGTACCGACGGCCATTTTGAAAAATTTAAATAAAATATTTATCATTGTCGATGCAATATGTCGAAGCGGATAATATGTTTTGTGTATTTCAAAGGAAAGTGCCTATATGCCTATATGTACTTTTTTTCAAGAAATTTTTATCAATCTTGTTTTCGAGGTGAACAACGACTTTTAGAAGTTACACTTCGTTTAATTGGCTTTGGAATTAATGGTACTCGCTATGACTTCATGTCCAATCTGCTTTTAAACGGAAATGAAACGGAAAACGTAGTGTACCAAACTTGACGTGAACTCCCATTTAAAGCTTAATATCGTGACTGCAATGACTGGTTTGATCGCGAAACTCGGAATATACCTTGAGTAACAGCGAGAAGTTAAGGTTGGGTTTCTTAGTTTTGATTGTGAAAAGAAATTTTAATATCGGATGTTCATTTATAGCTATGGGTATACATAGGTAGATAGATAAGTACGTGCGCTATCAACTTTTATGTAAATTGCTGGTTTCAAAACGTAATACCCATATTCGCGGGACGTTCGCGAACGATTTCAAGGAATCTGAAGATCGTGAAAAATGCCACTTTTATATGAATTTTTAGTAAAAACTAGAGAAATTTTCGGATTGAAAATCGTTCGTTTTTATATTTGTATTCGCGTTTACGTTCGATTGAGAGTCGCGTTAGTTTTCTCGTGGAAACGGTCCCAAATGCTCGGGAGCATTCGAATGGATTGTATATCGGATAAATAACGTTTTTACGTGAATTGGCTCATTTTTTTTACTTTTTCGTTTTCTTCTCGTTTAAATTCGCACAGTGAATCCGGACTTGGGAAGCCTTGTGTCGATTGACGGTATTCCGTTAAAAAAAGATGAATGAAAAAAAGTAACCGTGCAACGACAATTTGCTTTTTTTTATTTACTTGCAATCTCATAGTCCTCTTTTTTTCGAATTTCAAGAATTCCAGTTGACGTGAAGTCGTATTCAATTCCTTTCACGGGTAAGCAAACGGAGATATACAATGTGCGACTTGAGGATTCTTCACAACGTATTCAACAAGTATTTTAAGAAACCAGCCATTAAACGAAGAGTCAAAGTAAGTGTTAAAAAATAATGAAATTCTTGTTAATTCGTTTAACATCTAAACCTTAAGATGACAAAAATTTTTTTTTTAATAAAAAATCAATTTAAACACGCCGTGATGAAATAATTTCGAAATTTTATAACGACTCGTACGACGCACGTTGCACCGAAGAATTACGTAATTCCTGCCTGCTATTGGCTCAACTTTGTTACGCCACTGTGAGTGGCCACAACGCGCCTGGCATTTCGTGACAAAAGCATCCCTATATTTAGCAAATACAAGCATATATACAGGGTGTATCAAAAGAAGGCGTTAACAGCCTCCACCGCAACCTATCATCGTGCGATCACACTGAAGAAGTTGCTACACGGTGATGTTTCGTTACCATTTGCTGTGGTACACCCGGTATATATACTTGGACATTTATCGATAACAGAGAATTTGAAAAACTGCATGAGATTTGCGATAAGAAAAAATCGATTTAATATTTTTTTAAAATGTATAACGAAAGACTCTCAAAGTACGCTTCGTGCGTGTTACCTCAGCTGATCGCGAGAACCTAGCACGAGAATTACACTCGAGAGCACATCCCCAAGCCGTGAAATTTAAATCCATTCTTTTAATTTAAAAAAAAATAACGTGTCTCTCTCTTTTGCGCATTATCTGTTTCATATCTCTTTTTACTATTGACATTGTTTATTAACATAGTCAGCATTACCGTTCTGTCCGTGATAAGCCTGAATCAAGTAGGCAGATTCAGTTTATACATAATTGGTTAAATACGTTCATTCTATCTCGGCAGGGTTAATGCCGATTTTTCGCCGATTAATTTCTGCGCCTGCGCTCTCGCGTTATCGCTTCGTTTCCGGTACGTTGTAACGTTCTCATAAATGTCGGGACGCTAGATGCAATAGATTTATCGGAAGTTCGTACGAAAATAAGCGCGAAAGTGAGTTTACGAAATGAAATGAAAACTCGATTCTCTCATTCCCGTGTAAACCGGTTTAGACTATATATGTATATATACATATATATACTATGGATGCAGACAGAGCAATGGACATTCGATTCGATCCAGAATTTCTCGATAAATAAACTTTACTTAGCAAGAGCGTCATTTACCTATCCAGTAACAATTATTTCCGCTAAATAATCGAACTGCAGTAATTGTTTGATTTACATATAACGTCAATAGCATAGAGACACGGTAAGCCGAATGAGAACGTGATGAAATTGAATCCGATTGAAATTCTTACCTAATAAAAATTCCAATGTAAATAGATATATGTAACGCATAGGTATAGCAATGCTCATCCCAAAACCATTGAAACATACCTAATCCGTTTTCACGCAAATAGAAGCGCCGATAGTTTCGCGAAACACGTTCTCTTCCCGCTGTGCGGAAAATCGGATTAGAAATGGCAATTCTATTTGTACGAATTCTTCGAAATGTTTGCCCTCGATCAGGGATCTGGTAGATCCGTTAGATATAGTTTTCAATTATGGTCCATTCGGAATATACATATACGGCAGGCTGCATCGACGAGTGTTCGTCCCCACGTAATTTTCCAATTGACAAAATGCAAAGCTGAATGACTAAACGTTAATTCCATAAAGCTATCAGTGCCGTCCTCATTGATAATGTGAAACCGTACGTACAAGCCGGATGTATCGAGAAGGTACGTAAAGTACAGTCAACGTAGAAAAGAACATACGTGTGTAATGAATACATTGAGCAATGCACGTTCACAATGAAATTTCACGTTACAAGAAATACGGACAGAACGGTAAGTACCGGTAGAATTAGATATTGATTATTTATAAAATTAATATTTTAGTCAAAAGATTTTTAATACGGACGTTCACACCGCAAGATGAGTCGACTCGCTAAATATTCGAGACCCGACCGCGTCTACTTGACTCTGATGCAATTACGTTATTCCTGTAACAGGAATGGTAGATTTACATGTGTTTTCATGTTTTAGATATGACACCCGGTATATGGACGTATATCCACGTGATGAAATGGGGCCGCAAACACATTTCGATCGAATCCTATGTATCTGGATTAAAAGTGCGACTGGTACGAAAATCGTTTATGATTTATCGACCGATAGAAAATGACGTCTGGAACGAAGGTAAATTTTTTTTTTTTTCAATCCGATGGCTTAAATTCCACGCGTTTTATTCTACATCAATGTGACCGCAGCTGCAGCTGACTTGAAAGTATGAAATTAAAAGATCTTTAATGCTTTTATTCAAAATCTTAGTTGATGCGACTACTGGCAATTATATACTTTTGATTACTTTGGATTGCGTCAGCAAATGTAATTGGGAACTTAATTGCATTTGGGAATTGCTTTTTTTTTTAATTCGCAGGTGACCCCCCCTCTGCTTTGGCAGATTGACTCATCTTGCGACGAGTACGTCGTAGGTTCGGCACGACGAACGATTAATATGCGAACGATTATAAGAGGAGGAAATATTTTCGAATAGCGTGTACATGTTGTTTTCGTGCTTTTTTATATTCCTTATTTTTCTCAATCGTTCGTGCTTGTAATTTTACAAGTGCTTAAAGAGTGTCGGGTGTTTTTTGGAAATTAATGAGAATGCGCGTTGTGTGTTTACAGACATGTGGTGGGTGATCTTAGTCGCAACATCCATGTGTGTAATAAACATTAGGGTATGTACAACAACTGGTAGACGCTATAGACACAGGTGTTATCGAACGAAAATGCATAGATAAGAACAACGTTAAAACACAGGGATGTGCCAATTGTCTGAAAGCCACAGTTACACTAAACCGTTCGAGCCTGAATCATTTAGTATCTTTAAATTTGCACCTGGGTATATAACCGTTGCTTCGCGTTTTCATTTGCCACAGTGAAGCAATAAGAGCGAGCAAGAGAATGAGAAAAGCGGGAGAACCGTGAGGGCGGGAAATTTGAAAAAAAATATCTCTGTATAATATTTCAACTCCCGCTGACTGACGCGCCACCGGTGGCGAAGATCGATACTGCAAACTGCGCGAACATTAATTCTTGCCGCTTACAGGAAGTTGGTTGCAAATGCACGTTGAATACGAAAAAGGTAAAAAGAAGATCTGGAACGGCGCCAGCCTATCACGTGGCTCCTCGGAGCCCCAGTGGAATTTTGAGTTGGTTCTCGCGGGTATCGTTATTGGTTGAAGGAGAGACTATTTCGCCCCGTTAAAACGAATTTCATCTCCGTGGAAGCGTTCAGTCTTGAGCTCAGCTGAGTTGCGACGCGGAAATGTGTTTCCTTGGGAGTAAAAGGATGAGAAGGAAAGATAAAGAGAGAGTAAAGAAGAGAAGAAAAGTGGAAGATGATACTGTGAGAACGTTGCGACATTATTCGCGATTTAAATAACTTTTATCTGGTCGCGTTAAAAGGTGGAAAAATATGATTCGTATAGATTTACGCTGTCACTGCGGCTGTATTTACGACAAACGATTTCTCTTTTTTTTCGCACTCTAACATTACGGCGACTCTCGGCCGACAATCGTCGCGATGGGAAAACTTTTCTGCGACCATTTGCAGTCATTGTCGGACGCGACGTAACGACTTTGTACAAAGTCATTAGCCTTACTGGATTATTGGCCATTTTCGAGGGACTACGTTTTTACACTTGTAGCTAACATTCAAGTGCTCCTTCAATCTCGCTATCGTTCACTGTTTGCGCTTCACGATAATCGTCAATGGCACGTAAACGCACGGGTAAATTCGTTACTGCCGTATCTGTACAGTGATAAAGCAATAAATGTTCAGGCTCGAGAATTCCTTAATGTTGCATGATACTTGGAGTCTGCCGCGAGTCGTTACGACTTTTTGAACTATGGACTTTGCTTCCTTTGGATTTTTCATACGTGAAAATAAAAAGAGTCCTCGTCGTAAGGGTGAAGTGTTGCGAGTGACTCATCGCCATTTTATCATCGTTTACGCTAATAGGTGATAAGGGACGAACAACGTAATTGCAGTCATTGGACACGCGAGCGGAAGAGTAACATATATAGTGTGTATATATATATATACACGCGTTAAGATAAACCTTCGGTTCGTCTACCACGAGTTTACCGCTGCTGGTGGCTCACTGTCAGAGTCGATGTTTTGTAGGATTTCGGCCATTAGGAAAAGTGATATAGACAGAGGAAAAGGAAGATAGGAGACAAAGAGCGAAAGAGTAAGCGTGTAAGAGAAAGTTGCTAGGGAGTCTGGAAAATTGAGTATACAAAATAAAAGGTGGAGAAATAAAAAGAGAAAGTAGGAAAGTTTTTCAAGATCTCGAAAAACATAAGTACAGGTATCGTAGTAGTTGGGTTGTCATAGGTAGTTATTAGATATAATTTTGTTGTTGATTTTTTAAATTTCATCCCTGTTATCGTCTATCGTTAATATCATTCGTGAATGTGCGATTCTCTAAATACATACTGCATTAGCGTGCTACTATCCTTTTAAACGTTGTCTTACGGTTATTAATTATAGGCAGTTTAAATTTTCGCCCCATTCGAATATCCGTGATTCTCGAGCGGGTCATTTTCTTTAGTTTTACTCCTATACGTATCACACGGTACAGATGCACGTGGAACGTAGGATACAAGCGTATGGATCTAGTACGTTCATATTTCCAGAAACGGGCAGGAGATTTTTCGTATAAAATGTGACATCACGCGATGCCCTTTTTCTCTTATGAGAATAAAACGAAAAATTCAGTACATCAACGTACAACGTTACCGCCGTGTAGGTGGAAAATGTCCCGGGCGAGAAGTTCACGTTGCTATTCAAACGTCATTGCTTTAAGAAAATTTTCACCGGTGTCAGATTATCATCCACCGAATATGAGTGTTCAATTTGAGGTAAACGAACAGTTTTAACACGGTCACGTGACAGATCCATCCCGTTATATGGATATGAAGCGGAAAGCCGTTTTCAACGCAATTATACCTGTCAACGCGATATAACATTAGTGGCATTCGCATTTCAAATTTCCACTGTGGACTGTCAATATAGCGCGTGTTCTGCAATTGACTAAAAATTTTGATGACGTTTCAACAAAAATATGAACACAGTAGATATCATTCATCGTGACTGTGTTAAAAGTGCTCCATCCAATTTTTATCTAATTAAGGTGAGCTTGATGCTTGAAGAACTAAAGTCACGTTCCCAGAGGCGAGCTGTTAGAGAAAACAACTTTATAGTATATTTAATTACTTCAGGTGATCTACGTGGATAAAGTGGGCAACAGAGCGACAGAGGCAAGCCTACGTTAGAAGAGAATTTACAAGCAATCTTTATAGACGCAACGTTAGTAATGGCGATTTTCTTACATTTTTTACAATGTCTTTTTTTGTCATTCTCAGCTTTATTTTTTTTATAAACACTCATAATTTCTACTGCTGATAGCTAGGTCGACAAGGCAGTCGCATAACCTTAAGAATTGATTGGATGATCGATTATCGAGCTTTTCTTTCAATTTACTTGGTACAGCGTATATATAGTATAGGTATGACGAGGGTCGAAATTTGAATATCCGTAACACATTCACACGCACACAAGCTTTCGTGGGGGCTTGATGTTAGCCACTGAAAGAGAGATAAAGCTGCTAAGAGAAAAAGAAACTTTAGCCAAAGCAAAAGTATAAAAAGCGCTCGTATATATTTAACGTGAATTTATGAACTTGTGTAACCTCTCTTTATAATGTGACGAAGTTTTACTACATAAGGAATTTTCCAAATTTTCTCTACTAAGTGTCTCGAGGTTACAAAACAGTCGTAAGGATCGAGAATGAAATATATGGGAGTTATCTTGCTACCCCCATCGTCATCCCCGTCAGTGACGTAAATATTGTACGTGGAAGAAATTGTAATATTTTTTCCCCCCCTATATGAATCACGTGACTTTTACTTGTCGCAAGCAAAATCAAGTATTGCGTTTAGAGATAACGACTTAGATAAGGAAAATAATAACTTTTGGACTATTTTCATCAAAGTTCAGTACTTTCTCTTATATATGATTCAGGGTATGTAGGGGATGTCCCCGTAAGAAAATAAATTTAAAAAACTACCCTCGCCGGTAGGTCGTCACGGTTCGCTAATTCGTTCGGCAAATCTTACGCAATTTATTAGGGTGAATAAAGTATTAGTTCGCGTAACGATCTACTGAAATATTCTACAAGGGATCGGAGGACATCCTGGAAAGGTTCCTGGATATGGTCGAAGTTCCAAGATGCTTTTATCTCGGCCGCCTCTAGGTTCTACAATCTGGCTAAGAGTCTGAGCAAAGGAAGACGGGAGAGGGGAAAGGCAAAGATTTAAAAGAAGAGGAGAAAAGATAAAAGAAAAGGAAGGGTGTAGGGGGGGGGGTGGAAGAAAAAAAAATGGTTCCATCGCGACGAAGCCTCCGAACTTACCGAACGATATTCCAGGCTGTTTAATTTGCATGAAAGAGGGAAAATCCCGTCGAAAGACTTTCTCCCTGTCCTAGTGGTTTGTGGCAAAGAGATAGAGAAAAATAAGGGGAGAAGGAAAAAAATGAATATTAACCAGCTGTAACGTAGCTTTGGTCAATCGAGAAGTGTAATGCTTTCGAAGGAGAGGAATTGATGCTGCACAGTACCCTATAGAGAGATGTGTGTACATACCTTTATGTATATATACCAGATATATATGTTGTGTACACTACATAAATTCTTGGTGTTTCCGCTACTAAAAACTGAATTACATCCCGTCGATGCTCCCGACCCACCAAATCACACAGTACATACGTGAGTCTGTGTATATAGATGTACATGGCAGTCGAATCCAAAGTGGAATGTATTCCCAGCTTAAATAGTAAATAGCCCAGGACAGGCTCTGCATTGGTACCCTATCACGGTAGAGGTTAGGAGTTCGTGATAAAAATTGGGAATGGTTTAGGACTCATCTGGGAATAATCCGGCATGCTTCCCTTCCGTTTCGTTCGTTCCCGAAGGTTCCCAGGGACCACGAAGCGATGCAGAGACTCAAATATTTACCGGCGACCTACCTTACCCACGGCCATTCCCAATACCACCCCTCCGCTACCAGAATATTGAACACACTTGGACGGTTGTTCTCCGAGAATTTCATAATCGCCCATGAATTTCACACTTCAATTTACACGTGATACATAGTCCGTCTCTGGTGTCACGGATTTCCATCTATACCTGATTCAAGTTAACTTTTTCAAATCCTGATAAACATAACGTTCGCGCTATCAATAACTGCAACCAATCAATTCTCCGAGCGATAAACGACTTTGCAGCCAAATTTCAAGAAACTCGAAAACTCGGAGCATCGACGTTCTATGTATACCACATGCACGGGGAACTTGTAAGAACTAGGGAAACTACCCTAAACTCAAACCATGAGTCACCCCCCCAACTCAGAGTCGTCTTTCACAACATTGACTAACACGGATTCCGCAAAACTTTCACGTACTCACACGTGTATCACTATGTGGACATTCAGAAGGCTGTATCCACACGCGCTACAGATTCGACCTCAGTGAATCCGCACGATACCGATTACGATCCTATCGACGTTCCTTATTTTCCATATACGGTATACATATACGACTCTCTCGTTGTCCCACAGACTTTTTTCCCCCTTGCGACCTCAGGACAGCATACCTCGATATTATGCAATTGAGCGTCTCTACGATATAGATACAGTCCACCGTCTCGAGTCACCGCCATATACCACACGAGTAGCCACTGTAATTCACGCGTCCAGCAGTGCAGCCATTCTGCACAATGATATCCGTTTACTCTGTCGCTTAACCGAGAGGCCGTTCATTAGCCGGGGATCGCAATGTTGTTATCTCGGCAAACAATATGGGATTCAATAACATGAACTGTGTCCCTAATTTCTCATTGTTCGGATGAGCCGTGGGGGGCCCGAGGGGGAGTTCGAGGGCAAAGTTATTGGTCGTACCACGAAAGTAAGGCTTCAAACGGAATCGGAATTTTCGATAATTACTTTGAGGCTTAGTTGTTCGCTTCTGTCCTGAAACGGGTGGTTTGCTAGGCAGATGAGGTGGTTTTGCGGAAAGAGGTGACGACATTACTTAGTTCCTCGTGACTGTACTCTGTGTTGTTGTTGTTATAGTACTGTGCTTGTATGCAAAATGATAGCTACTGTTACTTTAATCACAATTAACGCTTCCTTTGAGCGAATACTAGGAGGGTGGATATCGCTAAACGGAACCGAACGGAGTTACGATGAAGAATGTATCTTGTAATGGTTTCCTTGATACTAGATATATTTACCCACCCCTCTTGCCACTGATTGAGACAGATCGTAGCCTGGGTCGATTAATTGCTGGAGTTTAGTTACACTGTATCGGGAAGCTGTAGCTTTTATGTTGATTACGATGAGATGATACAGTAGATGGATTTTGTAAACATTCGATACGTGCTAATTGTACTCATGGTAATATATCGGTGCTGAATGCTCATGCTGTGGTAATGACGAATGGATGAAGTTTCATTATTTTTCTCTGATAATAAATATTTATTTTGGCATCGCGATTACGCGCGGAGAATCACAAACGGGGTATATGTTGCTGCTTCGAATAGGCGCGTGAAGAAATAAAAAATTGAGGCCTTGCAAGTAATTAATCGAAAGCATTGATCATTCAGCAGACATTGCCTGTAACTCAAGTTCATTCACTCGCATGTTTCATACATACCCTGTACGTAGGCTTGGTTGCTTTTTCTTTTCATCCTAGAATATTCATAAGCGGTATGGATACTGTTAGTTATATACGCTCACGTGCTAAAGCAATACGGATGCGTTTTGTCAGACTCGTTAGATTCTAAGAGCAAGTTTCCATGCCGCTTCTCTTTATTGTTTGCGCATCCTACTTAAAAATGAAATAGCAGTTGTCATTCGTTGTGTTGCGCAAGACGTTTCAGAGAGATAAAGAAAAGATTGAATGGAAGTGTAGTTTTATTTATGGATATCGTTACTGTTACCATTATTCAGCCGATGTCGCATTTATAATACGATATAACGGTTGCCATTGTTTATCATACTTTTCGATTTATGTATATGCTTTTCAGATATTTTATTGCTGAGAATTGAATATGTTTCGAGGAAATTCGGATGAGAAAAATTTTAGAAAAAATTTACAGCAGAGATTTAGAAAAAAAATAAGTTTATTATGCACAAAGATTTGCATCACCGAACGAAAAGTTATTGCAATTGAAAGCAGTATATGTCGTTGCAAAAGTATGTTATATGTAGTACATTATAGTACATACCATATTGTACAATGCTTCTTATAGCATATTATTATCAAAGGCAAAAATATAATAATTCACTTACACTAGGTAGACAAAAAGAATTTTATATGCGTAGGAAGAATCTAATAGTATAGGTATTACTCAAGCCGAGTTTACGGAGTACCATTTAATCGCTCGATTCGAATTTAGACGAGTGATGCATAATGCATTTTAATCATGCATTTATCGTAAGGCATTTTATAAAGACCTTTCAGTTTAATGCGAAAGTGGGAGAGAGAGATTTGGAAGATGCTCAGGGAAATCACAGCGACTGGCGAGATAGATTTTTAATCTGACAAAAATTCTCCCTTAAACTTCGAGACAGATCATTTTTACGTATACGTATAACGTGTAAAATTGAGTAAAAATATGTTGTTTTTTTTTGGTTTCACGTCACACGATTTTGCCTCGAAATTTAATATACTATTAAACGATATATAAGATATAAAAAAATTTCGATCAAAGCGCCATTTTCGGGAGAAAATGAATTTTACATAAAACAACGTTGCTTTTCACTGTATACAAATCATTGACCCCAAAAAATCATGATCTTTTTCAATAAAATAATTGAAATTCGTAATAAAAAAAAATACTTAAGAACAACAAACACGCATGAAAATTTCGAATAACAAGAACAACGTCGCTTTACGTAATTCGCAGTTTCAGTATCGCTCAGAGATCCTGCGTCTTGCGAGGGTGCGATGAATATTTTGAAACTGATAGTGATTCAGAGGGATAGATAAGATTAGGCATTCTACGCGTGACGAGATGACATATGGGGAGTTTTCATGATAACGGATCGATAATCCAAAAATCTCATTGATTAATCAATCAGGTAACCAAGTAAAATATTCTTGCTCCATTGCAGCTGCAGCTGCAAGGAAAACTCCCCATAGTTGGAAGGATAGGTGAGTCCGGTACCTATAAGTGGCACCGCTTCGGAGGATCGCGTCAACACGTGGGCCACCAGCAGCGAAAACACCGTCTGTGACAACAGGATCGTCACACCTGCAACATCACACACACCAATCGTATCGTATCGAATCTGACCGTCACGAACGTGTCCTTTTTCTTCCCCCATACATTTTGTCGACCTGAGAACTTTTTTTTCATTTAATCAATAAAGTTTCATAAAATCTCCTAAAACATTTGGATCGTCGTATTTTCAATGATTCCCAATACATTTTTAGTTTCACTCAGTTGGAACAAACGGTTGTTGAACCCTTAGCCAGAGAGGCGTCGAGCGATGTTGCGGTCACTATTTATAGTATATACGTATACATACATGAATATATATATATATATACACACAGTATACAGTCACGTTGGAACGGACGAAACTTTTATGGGAGATTTTACGGGACTTTTATATTTCACTGACATTGCCGTGCTAGCACGGATAAATTCAGACTATGCTTCCTTTTACTTCCTTGCATCCCTGTTCCCGTGGCTTTCCTCTTTTGCTTTCGAAAGTTTTCGTCGGTTTTGGAGCGGTGCCGATTCAAAAGTGTGGAAAATCTTGACAACGTTCCTGCCGCTTCTACCTTCCCTTGCTCTCTTTACTACAACTTACGAGTATACACCGTGGACGTTTATTAAATAGTGTTGACGAACGTCCGGTCTCTCAGTCGTTAAATTCGCGTTTACCTGACCCACACGTACCTAAAGTGCTTTTGAGAGGCATGGTGCAGAAGCAGCTTCATGAAAAGTTGCATCAACGTGAACTTGGAGAACGTTTGGCACCTTTTCTAGTATCTATAATACACATCCGATAGTAACCCTGTGAGCTTGCAAGTGCCGAATTCATGCTCGTTACTCCCATTGTGAAATCGACTATTTTATTTACGAAAATCAAAAGGGAAATGGAGAAAATGAAGTTTTCAATAAAAAAGTGATCAAAGTGTAGTCCGCTCTCGTAAAAGGAAATTCAAAGTATTGTGATACAGAGTACGTTGTACCTTCACGTAGATGCATAAGATCTTGAAAGCAGCATATCGAAAAGTAATCTCATTTCTTGACAAGTCAGAGAGAGAGAGAGAGAGAGAGAGAGAGAGAGAGAGAGAGAGAGAGAGAGAGAATTTTGTATGAGTTTATCAAAGAATCTTCATACCTTCGACAATCATTGATAAGAAACAGTCTAGGCATCCGATTTATCGATCACGGATCACAGAACGAGGAACAAGAAAATGATATTAGATTCGTGCAAGGTGGGCAGCAAGTTGGCTGATTGCTTTTAAATTGGACTTTATCACGTGCGACCTACATCTTTCATGTGTATCAGACTTTATCATTTGGTAGTACAGTTCTTCACCTACCGTGTGAAGTATTAAGAGCGACTAGGTTATGTCACACTCGGGAGCTTAATTTTGTCGCTTTGTGATTTACATGAATTAATTATAATTATTATGAAGTAAAATAAAAATTCAAATTCCTGGATCAATAATAACATGATTTCAAGTCGTTATACGAGCATACGGTGTATTTTGCAGAGATGCAAGGATGCGACTTAACCTTGAATTTTTATTCACCAGACCGTGGCAGCGCTCCAAGCGTCAATTAACTGAACGAGTTTCAAACGATGTGAAGATTTTGTAAAATTTACGAGAATTCACGATGACTCGTAAATTCCACCAAAAAAGTCTTTTCTACGGAGTTTAAAAACAGATTTTTTGTTCCTTGTTTGAAACAAATAAAACATAAAATGTTTTACGTTGATAGTACAATCATTTCTAATGGTTCACGTAGCACGGTCCGATTCCATAACGAATTATTATTATTGCTATCTCTTTCCGTAATGGTTCCTACGTAATTTACGGACATCTTGATGTTCAATTTGTCTTTCTGGTATTTGTATACCTAGAGTCGTGGCTTTAATGGCTCTCAGTGTGTCTCTGGCGATGGTAATAAAAGACGAATACGGTCTATAAAATTGGAGTCGAATGCGCCTGCGCAGCTTACAGTACATACCTGCGACAATTGAGGATCTCAAGTAAAATGTACGCAGTCCTTGAAAGCTTCTAGAGATTAATTCTTATTTTTCTTCACTCTTTAATATAAATTTCAATGAATCGACACTTTGAAGTTTATTGTTACGACGACGCCGTATACAGACTGCATCAAGTAAGACGCAAGTTTGTGGTGATACGGTGCGTGATTTCGAAAATCTGATGTGACAATCTCTGAATATTTTTTGATTGATTATCGATTGCGCATATAATTCTTGTTCATTCAATTGCCATTCGCATATAAAAGAAATTATCTTTACCATTTCAAATGATAATTAAAAAAGTGGAATGCAACAGTCACAGAGCAAGAAAAAAGAATAGAGATAGAAGAAGTTCATACGGATAGCATACATAATAAGGAAGATATTTATGTTCAGACGCGAACCAGTACAGTGTGACTGAAACATATTGTAATCCTTTTTTTTATCCGTATAAAATTTTTTTTATTTCTTTCTTTTTTTCTTGTCCTATGACTTTTGCATTTACTATTTTTCGATATCATTTGAAATAGCAAAAATAATATTTTTATTTGCGGAAAAAAATCGAACGAACAATAACATTACGCGGCATCGATACTCAATCAATAGAAAATGTTTAATGGGTGTCACATTAGATCTTCAAAATCGTGCACCGTTTCACTGCAAACCCGCATCTTCGCTGATACATTCGGTACGCAGAAATTCAATATCCGCTTCGTCAGTGATACGATGTATACATGTTACAATGATAAAACACCGGAAAACGAAATGGCCACAAATGGACCAATTACGAAGAGTGAATTCGAACTTCGTTGCTTGGTACGTAATCAAATTAAATTTTATAGAAACCTATTTAATTTTCCCTTAAAAATTGATGCAAAAAGAAAAAACTTTGTTATATGTATAAAGCTTTGTATTTTATAAATAAAACAGATTTTAAACAAACTATCGCATGACGATCACGTAGTATATTATGCCCTCTTGTAATTCCTGTATTTTTCAAATTCGTCCACGTGATTAATAACATCACGTAATATAGCTCGTAACTATATCTATGTATGTCATATAATAGATAAATATATACTATGCGAAATTGCACTGTTGTTTTTTACAAATACGGCACGATCGACGCCTTCGAATTAGAAAAGTGTGCTACGAATGTTCTGCGTGTTCGTGAAAAAAAAAAAAGAAAAAAAAAATTCGTACCCGTATCGTCATAATAATAAGCCAAAGAAAATTCTATTTGACAAAGATCTGTTTATCTGGATAAATTATCGCAATCCGAAAGACAGACGATCGTACTGCGACAAAGGTGGCGTGCGCCCTTTAGTATCAAACATACCAAACATCAACCAACATACATTATACTTGTACGTAATGTAGATACAGAAGGCAATAGTGTTACAGGCAATGTCTGAAAAAAGTACAGGCACTTTCAGCAACACAAATTATCAGCCGCTTGCAAGATAAGATAAAAATAAGGTATAGGCAACAATGGCAGAAGACGGAATGGAATGAAATTGGCAAGGAATAGAAATCGATAGTGATCGATTGTCCATCGATCTTCCGCTCTAGCTAATCGCGACGTGCGAATTGAGACGCATCGTACCAAAGACAAAATGCGAAGAGAAAGGTTTCGCAACAAAGAAGTAAATAGAAAAAAAATTGATAAAAAAAAAATTAGAAGAGATTTAACGTGCGAAATTTAAATCGATTAAACGAATCGATAGATCGATATCGATCAGCAATGATCAAAATAGAGATCCAGAGTGTTGAGCCTGATTTCGTCGAGCGAAGATGAATGAAAAGTGTGTGATCTGTATATTGCGAAATTTTACGATCCTAAATTCGCCACAGTGCAACGTGACAATATTCAATACGTGGGACGTGATGTGAAATGCGCGCTAGATGGATATTCAGGTCGACTTATCGTTCGCGAATATATCTTGCAATTTTATTGATATCTTTTTTCTTTAAAATGGGGTAAAGCACGATCGAGTATCAATTGAATTTTCTTTTTGAAAATGATCGGTTTACTCGAATCGAATTTAATCGTGATGAATTTCTTATTTTACATGTTAAAACATTTTCACATTTATCTATTCCCTCCCGCACTCCAATTTCACAAAATCAAAATTTTCGTAGAATTTCATTCGTCTAATTTATTCTTTAAACTTTGAAGCACATATCAGTACTTTACGAATCGATTAATTGAACAGAATTTTTTTTCTTTTACTTACCTCCGATCGTCACTTACCCCATTTACATCCTCAATGCTATTTCAACGACTACTGATCTATCCAGAAAAACGTTAATATGCATTATTACAAAAAGCTTCACGTGTATACCTATATTTTTATATACACTTATATATAATATATGTATACAGTGTATATGTATTACTTCTACTATATAAATTTGATGCCGCTAATCATCAACGCACAATACGATCTCCGATAATCGTGTCTACTATTTGCACACTAGTTAGCATAAATGCAAAATCCGAAATATTAAACGTATACGAATTATAATCGGGTGCGTTTCAGAGAATATCTTTAATTCAGGTAAAAATCGTAATTTATTAAGAAAAAAAGCTATGTAATTATATCATAACTTTAAATCGAGTTACCACGAATACACTTGACTATAGTACATAAAGCCGTACCTCATCCGTTTCGCGAACTCCGACGTGACGCAGCACATTTTTCCCGAGATTTTCGCGTTAACGATAATTAGTTTTCGCAAACGACGCACCAGAGCGTATTACCTTTCTTCGCGACGCAGTTGTCACTCGTTCGTTTGTTCGTTCGTTCGCTTTGTGTTTCGCGTAGTGCAACCCAGAAAAAAAACAGCTCGATATCGTTTGCATTATTTTCCTTCTTTCTTTTAGCAACGAAACGACTCGCAAAATACAAAAATCCCGAAACCCTGGTTATTCAGATTATTCCGTCATTCCCGTGAGAGCTTTATGGAATGCGTGCAAATATTTGCAAGATGCGACGAGAAGGCTCTGCTTGAGATGCATTTAAATTTTGCTGCACGTAATACAAGGAGAGACAGGCATTAGTTATTCTGACAATTACATTATTAGTGCGAATGCGGAAAAATGATATTACGGTTTTTTGCCTTTGCAAATTTCACATATATTCTCCCTCTTTTTTTTCCAACATTTTTCCATTTCCCATTTTTTCATATCTGACTGCCGTGTGTATTTCATGTGGCGACATAGCACAGAATTAATACAATTTGTTATTTGCAAAAAAAGAATTATCAACTTATAGCACGCATTATATATACATATATGTGTGTATACCCTCGGTATAGATATATTTACTGCATATGTATCGTGACAGTCCCTTTATTCCGGCAATTGAAAAAAATTACTAGTTTTACGTTCGCGACTGGATGACTTTATTTTTCTCCCGATACCGTGCGACACGTGCAACGGGGCAGGCTTTGTGGTATCTTTATTATCAGTGATAATAACAACGCACCAGTCTAGAGTTCCGATGGAATATGGGGAATAGAAACTTGTCACATTGAAATAACCAGCCTTACCTCACCCTATGAATACGCAAGTTCTGATCTGGGAATTCATAGCACGACGCGTAATACGATTAACAAAAGTCCACCTATGAAAGAAGAAATACAAGAGACTCGTAATTGAACGTAAAAAATATGAAAATTCTAGAAAAGTAATAAATACGTAAAATTATTATTTTATAAGAGAAAATGAACAAATCGACAACACTGACGTGTCTCTTTGTATACGTCTTCGCTCGAGTACATCGCATAGGACACAAGAGATCTATCGAGAGGACAGGAGAGCGCATAGGAAGTAATGGAGAAGATGCAGCAAAAATGAAAATTTTGAAAATCTTAAAGAAAGCGACAGCGAAGCGGCAGCCGAGACGTTTAATAATGCGGGAAAAATATGTAAAAACGATGCATTAATGTATACGCATAAAGGTCCTTTCACAACGGCAATTGCCTGATACCATTGTACAAAGTTCCTAATGAATAGCAATAAAATAAAAAGGAACATTAATCCCGTTGTTATATCGTTCAAAGTTCACCTGCGTTATTGACTAACGAGTGACTATCAAGAGCAAAGTGCAATAAATGAACCAGCAAATGAATATACTATACAAGGTGTTTCAAAATGTTCCTAAAGCCTACTAAAGGAACACCGATAGTCCGTACAGCTGTAAGATGGTAGCTAAAACCAAGAGCAACTATTTACTCGGTTACTATCCAAGACCCTTTCATTCTTTTATTTCGCTCCCTCCCCCCGATTCCTCCCACGACACGATTGCACATTCCTCTACGCCAATGCACGCCAGTGGCTGCAAGCACATTTAACACTATAGCAATGGTATCACCCTATATACTTATACACTGGTTTAGTGCTCTCCGTCTACCTTATTTCCTTCCTTCCTTCCTTCCTGCCCCCCTCGCCACCTTTCCTTTCCCTCTCGGCGGTAGCAATGGAGCACGTGCTACCGTGTGGTACAGTATCGGAAATCAATTGCACGTAAGGTGAATTATTTTGTTCAGTCAAATGCGGGAGAAACCGCGTATTCGTGGAAACGAGGTGAAAAATAAAAGAAAAAAAAAAAAAGAAACGTGAAAGAAAGATATACAAAAAAAATAGAAAACTATGAGGAAGCTATATTCCCTGTACCTACTGCTAGACAAACCACGGTACAGTATGGTTGGTGAGATAGCGAATTTAAAAAATAAATAAATCCTAATACAAGATGGTATTTAAATATATATTACCAGGCAATTACCGTGTTACAGTAAATTGATAAGCAAAGACGAACAAAATGTACTTTCTCGCTACAAATAAAACGCACGGCGATGGCACAGCATAGTAGGCTAAGTTTTCGAAGGCGTAGAATATACGAGGATCTTAAAGGTTTTTCGCCATTCGTACTTCACAGTCACCCTTGTAGGACACACTCGTCGTGTATACAGAATTGCATATGCACCTCGATGCATCGGTGCATCGTGGCTGTACTGCTCGATGCGGCTGCAGTTGTTATTACGTATCTGATACGTAAAAGTCACGTCTTGTGAAGTTTTAAATATTTTCTTTCTTTTCAAATTTGATTATTTCCAAGGCAATGCATTTCATGTTTCCCATGAACTTTTCATGGTGCACAGCGATGCAGTCACACCGAGCAGCCATTTCATGCCGTCCTATGCATGAAAACGTGTCTCAAGATCCGCGACGGAAAATAAGAAAAAAAAAGGCTCGCGTTTTCGATTCGGTGTATGCGAGGAGCGAAGAGGTCGAAATCATTCCGGGAGAGTAATTCGGCTCTCTTTTTCTTGAATAAATCTGCATAAAGCCCCGCGAACGAATTGGTCCTCGTGTCGGGCGCGGATTAGAGCGTCGCCCGGAATTAAACGAGCCACCCGATAACGGCGCACTTTGAAGTCACGGTCTACAGCATTGTCCTTAATGGTGATATCGAGTGCGCGCGCACGTGCCAAGTATGATAATCGGCTACAAGGTATACCCAAGAGAAAGACACTTCTTTAGTAGGTAGCTTCGAAAATATTATCCACGTTGAGGATGCGCGCTGAGGATGCACGTACATTAATTCTAAGTGCACTTTCGAACATTAACACGTTAACGTATAGCCAAAGCAAGAACGATGATTTTAAAAATTCACACAAACAAAATCTAACTAACCACGGAACGATTTCAATCTCTTCGCATATGGAATATAAATCCATTCTCGACGTGCGATCATTTTCACTTGTGACCCTGAACGATTGCAATTCCAGGCTCAAAGTAAATTTGAGTACGTAACGTTGCTATAATTGACACAGACACGTTCAAGTGAACCAGCGAAAATTGCTCGCACCCATTACACCCATTATTCAGGCTAGCAGCCAGGAAAGGTCCTTTCAGGCAGCCCAGAGTCTCGCCTGGAGGGTGTGTTGCGAACGTGGAAACGAGAGGGACGCCAGAGGACCCATTTAATTAAGTCTCGCCCCGAAGAAGACGGCATTGCGCGACAGTTGGTAAAAGACCTGGAGGAGGATGGTCAAATGGGTGGAATAAGTTTCCACCTCTAATACACGTACGACAGCGGCAGGAAGTGCTCTAGAAACCACCCCTAGTCAGTTTGACTTCCCATCTCGTTCTTTGCTCCTTCGTTCTCATCGAGTGCGATCACTGGGCAGTCGGCTGCCGCACCTTCGTCAGACGAGACTTCAGACCCACTTTGTTACGGACAGTCTAAATCGAATTCTTCGTCGATCGAAGTCGACAAAATAAAATGGCTTTACGATCGTTCACAATCACGAGGAAAAGCACACCTCGTATACGCAAACAGCACTGATCACGTCGTGCGTGCACCGGATGTGAGTGTGATGTGTATTCGTATTATTTTTATTTTTTTATTTTTTTTCAAAAAATTCTGTTGTACCTAACAAGGGTATAGCGTCGGAGACCTGGGGCAGGGTCTCGGCGACGAGATTCAGGAACACCGTCAGCGATAGCAAGATGGTCACTCCTGAAACAGTCGTTGCCCGTCGTTCTCAATCCACTTTGTCGTTCGTATCCCACGGATTACCTATTGATTGGCTGTCGCCTGATATCGAATCTTATGATCCACCCGTTTTCAACTGATCAATCGCTTCTTTTTTTTTTCAATCGTCAATAGAATTAGTCAATACCTTACAAGGTGGAAATTACTAGGTGTAGGTATTGTGAACGTACGTTGTATACGATCTGGACCTGTTATGCAGGTAGACTCAAAGTTCGATGAAATCACTTGATATTTCCTAGCTCAGAGATACAACCACGGCGTATGGTAATGCTCTTTAAATGCACTTTGGTACCGTTTAATTGCGAGCCTTTGTCGATCCGACGCTAATACTCGTTCAATCTCTGGTGATTGATCGACGGCTAACTTTTCCTACTTTACTCGGAAGATCGTTCGTCGTGCTCGTCTGATTTTCGCAAAGTTTATCAATTATCGAACCACGGGCAATACTAACGAACCACCAGGTAGATTGTAAGTACTGAAAATGACTTGAATTTTCTGTGGCAATAATTTATTATAATTTTCGTATTACTTGGCGTATAATTTTACGTATTTTTCTCCTTTAATTTTCTTTATTAAAATAAAATGAGTTACGCGCCCTAGGAAGAGGCTGGGGAGGCTCTTGCTGTTTTGATCAAACCCTGGCAATCTTCTTCTTTTTTTTTTTTTCGAATCCAAACCAATAATATCCTGGTGGAAGCATGAATTGCATTTTAAGTAGAAATATCGGAAAGAGGGTCAGGCCTTCCCTCGCCCTAGCGAATTCGTTACGAGTTGCTTTCGCTCTTTTTTTCTCTTCTCTATTGGCTCTATTAGATTCCCAATAGGGAAGCGTTCATCCGCGATCATTAACTCGCGACTGTTTGTCTGCCTGAGGGCCAAAAGCGGAAGGGAGAGTCATATGTTTTTCACATGAGTTATATCCCGTATCACGGTTTAATATTCGTGGTGCATTCTCCGAGCTAGTTTACTATGAAATTTCTCATAACAGAGTCTACGCGCATGACGTCATTTGTCGTTTAACTTACCTTTTTTGGATCGAACAAAAATAATCGTACCTCCGTCTCTTCTCGAAGGAAAAGTTTGACGTGAATTGAATCCAAAAAAAAAGAACTAAAATGAAACTAATAGTCTGATAACACCTCAAGTTTTATACTATTAAACAGAACAAATTTTTGTTAATTAAAGAAATAATACGAGGTCACAAAATTCTTTAAAACTAATAGCAATCGTTTTCGTTTGAATTTATCGACCATATATCAATTATGAAATTGCGCGATTCAACATTCCCGGCGTACTCGCGTTTATAAAGTTACGAACCCCTATACGTAATATCATACAAACTCGAACCGCGATATCCTGTTATAGCAGCTTGAGAATAATTCGAAAAGTTCCAACGACCCTCTGAAAGTTCAAAGGTCCCGTTTTAGATGGTTTCGCGAGAGCGACAATCGCGAATAATTTCGATGCAGCTCATTTGGCTTGGCAAAAAAATTACGTCGAAATTTAATTGTGATAAAAAAAAAGATTTAAAAAGTTCGAGCATGTTGAAAAGTTGTTAAAAATTTGCAAAACTAAAAGAGGATGTTGACTACGAGTACCCTCAAAACTATTCATTTTTTTGATTTATTCGTCCTATTTTTTTTTTTTCGTTTTCGAGCACCTATAGCTAAGGAAATCCCACACGTGGCGGATGCTGTAAATAACTTTTAAATATTAGATGAATTATCGGTGAGTAATTATAATATATAAATGTTGTTAAATCAAAGTTAGCGGCAACGCTATATATATACACATATATATAGACTGTGAATAGGATGCGAGATTAATCTCACGTGTTGACCAATCACCGACAGCACAGTGAATCGATTGTAAGACAGGGTGATAATAGTCGGAAAATATCGACGAGAAGCGATTAATAGAACTATTGATAATAGTAACAATAATAGTGGTAATAGTAAATAGTAGTAAGTACAGTAAGAGTAATAGCAGTAGTATACGACTATAAAGAAATTATACTACCTACGTCAAATAAAAAAGCATTTCCTCTGTCGTCACGCTAAATAAATGAATTTCATTGTTTAGCTTTTTTTTTTTATTTTTAGCGATTACATTTAAGACACACCTCTTCGCGTCTCTCATTACGATACGTCGTTTCCCTTTTTCTTTAACCCCACAATTTTTCACTCAATTTTCCGTCCCGTCGCCCAACACGTAATTTCGAGTTGACACCGTGACACTCCTTTTTTTTTGCTTCCGCTATCGTTCCGAGGATCGCCCGATTTCTCTTGCTTCGCGCATGTAACCGTTTGTATGGAACTGTTGATTTTGACCATATCATACGAAAGTACAGTTCCGCTTAATTGAATGGCATGACAAGCATATCGGATATTATACGCTTGCAATTTATTGAGCAAATACCAATGAACTCCCAGTGATATATATATACATATATATAGTAGTAGCTATGAACTGCTATCCTGAAAATCCACTATGTTCTGCAGTCTTTATCTCTGAATCGCAAATATTGCTTTATCGCTATATCTCATTGCGAATACGTCACTCGACTTCATCTGACAAAATGGCGGAATACTTAGAGACTCTTTTACGAAATCGAAGGCTAATTCCAAAGGGCCGATACATAGGCCACAGATAAACATATAGTCTGTTACTCTTCCACCATTGGCATAACTGTGGGATATTGTTGCAATTACGGGACCCGCGACGTTCTTCACCCAAAATTGTCAGAGGACAAGATAAGGAGGGGATGTGAGATTAGAATCACGAAAAACAAGAGATTAAAAAGGAATATACATTAAGACTCAGAGGGGAAAAAAAATGTGTGACGTTGATCGTCGACGTCGCGACGGCTTCCTCCCCCAAGTATCAGCAACGTGACGGCGCCGTTGACGCTGCGAAAATGCGATTCGCTGAAAAGAATGCGAAATCGGCCGCGTGTCAAAATGCAAAATCGTTAAATGATATATCTCATGCATATTTTCCTTCCTTGAAGAATTTTCCGGTTCACGGAATCATGTTTTACATGTAAATGTCTCCTGATCATTATCCGATTAAGGAAAACGTCGTTTGGTTCCGTAACGAATCCCACCGTAGGAAAAACGACGAATGAAAAAAAAAATTATTAGCAACGAAAGATCAAAAAATAATATTACTTTCCAATTTACGGTACCAAAAAAAAAATTTCAATTTGCCCAGCCTCCAAAATTGACACGTGGTCCAGACCGAACGTAATCATTAGAGTACCAAGAAATCACCAAGAGAAAAGATGCACAAGCAAAGAAAACATGGCTGACGGATAAATACGTGAAATCTTGTCTCCCCAGCCCGTAGTAAACGGGCGAAAAATGTCGGGGAGCCAAAAAAAAGGTTAAAAAAGGAGGAAACATGGAAACGGCATAAAGAAAAGACAGATTGAAATAGGAAAAAAAAAATACGAAAAGCATAGTCGAATAAAGTAAATCCACGTAAAACGATTTCCGCAGCGCCTCTCTGAATTCACTTTCGTGTAAACGTGGCTTTCACACGTGTCCGTTGAGAACGATGTCACTTGGTACAAGGAATCGTTTTAACGGTCTCTATAGAGTTAGGGTATACAGATAGGCAGGTGGGATGTCTGAGAACGGTGACACTGGGGTACGGACGAAGTGAGCGTGAATGAGAGAATGAAAAAAAAATAAAAAATAAAATAAAAAATAAAAGACATGAAAAATAATAATAAAACGGAAGAACGTAATCGCCACTTAGAATGCCAATTCATATATAGGTACCTATTAACGGAACGGCGTCCGAAGTGGTAGGCATGCTCTCCGCGACGAGATTCAAGAAGACTGTCAGCGACAGCAAAATGGTGACTCCTGTGGATGCACGTTGAAACATCTTGAGAAAATTGTAGGAAGATGAGGGACGTTAGTTTCGAGTACGAAGACACACGCGTGAAATCCGTGGAAGATATTCTAATGAACCAGGAAGAGGCTTGCAGTATGGGAGATATGACAATGGCGAAGCACGTGAGGATAACGAACGTCTTCGCGATGCGAAAATTGTGCAATTCTCGTCTGACGAATAATGTATAAGAAGAGATAAGGTTAGGTTAGGTATGGCAGCTTTCAAGTGCCACGGTGAAAACAAGATAAGATTCGTACTCGAACTTCGATGAGACCGTGTGCTTACGGTATACGTGAAAAGATATATAGCTGGGTGGAAAACCGCCACCGGGATTCCCCGACTTCCGTTACAGCGAAATCAGCGACGAAAACAGGAAGTAATTCATTCGCGAGGATTCCCGCGCGATACGCGAAACGTCAGGGATGCGAAATATTGACTGAAAGAAGCTAACGGGATATAATTGGAACTATAATAAAGTTATCGATCGACCGAGTGTATAGAAATAATATATGTACATAAGTATATGGGCACGGTGAATATCTCTTACGATTATTACTTTTTTTTTTCTACGTAATTTCTTCTTCGTACCAACCAAAGATAAATATCTACGTAACACAGATAATGGATTAGGTGTAAAAGCAAAGACGATCGAACGTTACGTTCCCAGGGTCTAAAAGTCCCGGGACAAATTTTCGGGTTGCGTAAGGTTAAAGGTTTCCGTAACGTACCCGGTGTACCGTGGTAATATTTTATTACGTTAAGTGTTTCCATTTCGCGAGATTGATACTGGAAGATGCCAAGATGCCACGGTTCTATCAATCTACCTATCCTCCGGCTGTAGAACACCGTATACAGGTAGCTATGTATTCACGTTTATACGATACAGTAGGTGCTGGTAACTATATAGGTACTGAGGGCGAAACTAGTCGAAGAAAATATATAAGCTTCGAGATATCCACCGTGCACAAAAATGGCGTAGCACTACGACAGCACGCGTTACATTGGGAAATAAGATTCTCAAAACGGATAACAGGAGCGCCCTACTATTTAGTAGTCTAAATGGAGATGGCAAGGATGCATCTGATGTATCAGCGAATAGGGAGTATTTCCAAAGTGGAACGGATGCCGTGTCGCGGTGAATTTAAAGTGAAATTCGAAGGAAGCTCCTATTTAGCACTGAGATCAGGTTAGGTTGGATCAGGTTAGGTTTGATAGTATCCCGAAACATCAGGTATAAGCTGTCGGGTGAAAATCGAAGAATGACTTGCGGTTGGCACTTTAACTCTTTGACGCGCTAATACCCAATAACGATTTCGCTCCGGCACACTCAATTCACAGAGTGCACTGTGCTCATGGGTGATTTGAATCTGGTCGAGTATAGCGTGTAGGTACACAGACTGCACCGCGGCGTGTTTATCTAGTTGACTAATGATATTCAACGTGCTATTTAATTTTCCACGGACACGCGGTGCAGTGCACGCAATATTATGGAGATTTCATTCAAGGGGGAGAAAGAAAGAAAGTACAAGAGCGCGCCTGAGGAAAATGGATACCGGCCGGCTTGTTTTACTCGGCGTTCTACGTGAAACGTCTAGGTTGGATTTTAAGCACGGACTGTACTCGCCCGTCTCGCTGCGTGTTCGCTTCGAATTTCTTTACTCGATACCTCGTTGCGTCACGCTTCGAACTAGAAAACTTTTCTCTGCGATTTCCTTTCTTGAGAAATTAGGAAACTTAGGTGTACAACCTAATCTAAGTTAAATTAATTTATGTCTCTTGCTCCTCGTAGCGGAGCAAACGCGAACGAAGTTGCAATAAACGAATTTCTATGTAAATAGTAGACCCAAGGTGTATACGTTTGGTATAGTAGATAATAGTACATAAGATGTATATACGTAAAGGCCGACGTCACGTAACTTTCTTTCTATCCACCAAGAGCAAAGCCCACTCGAGTGAAATTACGCGAAAGGCTATAAGAGGGTTTGATACAATTAGTGTCCGCTGTGTGTTTTACCGCAGCACAAGACTTATAAGAAGGTGGATATTAAGGTTTCTTGTTTTTTTTCCTCCAAGAAATTTATGCCTCGCTTTATACGAAAGAAGAGGCGGCAGAAGACGCGTAGATAACGATCCAGTCTGATCTAAGATAATATGCTATCGGTTATCGTGATATCAAACGACTCTATTAGGAGCATCGATACTTTTATAGCGAGTCATAAAGAATCTAGCATTTATGGATCACTCGCATTTTTCTGCTTGGTACGCGAAGACGCTCGAGAGCTATTTCAAAGAATACATCTAATAATCCACGGCAAGGGACGCAATAGCCTTTGTATGGTCGGAGGAATTTTTTAACGAAGCAAAGTGTCTCGTACAAACAGAGATTCGCAATTTGAAAATTCAAGAGAAGCAAAAGACACTCTTCGTCGTCTTTCCTAAGTTTCCTAAGTTTCTCAAGGAGTGCCGAGCGCACCTACTCGAAGTTAATTTTAAACGTGACTGTTCGTACAAACTAGATGGTTGCTTGAGATACCAAGAGATTGAATAATCTCAAGAGACACGGTAACGTCTGTATGATCTTGTTTTGTTCTTAAAAAACGCCATTGAGGTAAAGGATTTCTTTAACGTTAGTATACCGTATCCGAGTGGTTTTATCGCGTCTTTGTATTACGGGCGACAAAAAAAAAGCGATTCAAAAATCCGACGAAGCAACAGCTCGTTCAGTGATTTGCGTGAAGAGAAAGAAAAAAAAATGGATGAAAATTAAAAAAAAGCACAAAGAAGACAAGGGATCGCTACGCGCCGGTGAAACAGCCTGTGGTGGAATTTTTCATAAAGGGTCTAGAGACCCGGGGAACGCATCGACGTCAATATTAAACTCGCGTTATTGCTTTCGCGTTCGTCTGACTAGAAAAGTTAGATTTTGGAAAAGCTCCACCGATGCTCCGATACGTAGTAGCGCCTCCGAGGAAACGTTGCGAGGCGACTAAAGGGAACTTGGGTCGAGTATAGTGTATAACCTAACTGACGAGTAGTTGAATATTAAGGAGGGTTGTCTGTTAGCTTTTCCGAAATATATATGTATAGTCCAAGCGTGAAACAAAGAAGTAAATTCGAAGCGAATCGTGAAACAATGACAGCTGGTTGTGCGCCAGGCTGGAGGCGAGAAGATGCGTATTTCAATTTCATGGCAACACCCATGAACACACGAGCCGATCGATTCTCAGAAGCGAAACACGGGATTGGTAACAGTTGCGAAATACACGTGACGTTTGATTCGATAAAAAAAAAAGAATGGATGGACTTTTAGCAAATTCGCGTACACGGGTAAGCACTGACCGTCCGTTAGAATTCAATGAAGCGAGGATCAAAGGGAATCAAGTGAAAGGAAGCTGGAAGCGGATGTGAATTTGTCGAATCTTCTGGCAGATCGGTAATCGAAATGTACCATGCATGACTGATAAGGGATCGTGAAAAGTTGATAAGCCTCCATTGCGAAGAGACGTACGTCTTCTGGGATTTCGACAGGTAGACTCGTGGGTGGAGGGTTCGAGAAAATTTTGATGGTCGCCGAATGAGAGTGCGACGTAAGGGTCGCAACGTGATCGCCCGTTATGACTTTGTAAACTGTCGGCTACGCATTTGACACCCTTTCTACCAGTATACATGAACGTACGAACTCAGTCCTGCCATTCAGTGTCGCTATGATAAGCAAAGACCAGCATCAGCAACACTATGGCCCACTGATAAGAACCCACCCGTCTCCTCTACCCCGTTGATCCTCTTGAAATATTAAATCGATCTGGCAACGTTGATCCGTACATTTTCGCGTAGCAATGCCTTTTACGACTCGGAGATCCCCACTCTTTAACCTATCCAAATTCAAATCACGTTCCTCCCTTTCGTAGACAGGGTCGCCCTGGGTGTCTGCAGTTGCGGTGTAAACATAAAATTTGCACGATATTCCCGGGTAGAAAATACAAGTAGAAGAAAGAGAGTGAGAGAGAGAGAGAGAGAGAGAGTAGATAGAGGCAGAAAGAGAGAGGACGATATATAAAAGTGAGAACGTAAAAGTATGAAAATACAAGTAGAAGAAAGAGAGTGACACTCTTTAACCTATCCAAATTCAAATCACGTTCCTCCCTTTCGTAGACAGGGTCGCCCTGGGTGTCTGCAGTTGCGGTGTAAACATAAAATTTGCACGATATTCCCGGGTAGAAAATACAAGTAGAAGAAAGAGAGTGAGAGAGAGAGAGAGAGAGAGAGAGTAGATAGAGGCAGAAAGAGAGAGGACGATATATAAAAGTGAGAACGTAAAAGTATGATAGGGGTAGAAATAAATTTTTTTTTTTATTAAATCCTATAACGCCCGAATATATCGAACGTGAGTACTGATACGATTAAAAAAACAACCAAAGTAAAATTATCAAAAAAAAATATCAGACTGACCAGAGGGAAGACGACGTTGAATCCCCATCGCATAACAGGCATCCCTGTCCGTTGTACCGGTGCAATCGATTCTCCCTGAGGGTTACTAAATTTTTCAAGAGTCTACGTCCTCCGCCAATTTCACAGCTTGCCATTAGGCTAAGCTGATTAAGACGCTTTTACAGCCCCACGCGACGGGTTAAACGAGAGGGTGAAACAAGTGACTTGATCATTCATCAAGATATACCCTACTCGACAAGGGTATGCCCTAGGTGGGCTGGTCACCATTGAACCCTCGGAGATTCTAATATTTTGACGTTCCTTGTTCGGCCGTATCCCCTATGTCTCGTGCCAATCCTGATACTGTAGCAACATATTCCAGACACCCTTGGCGACTCCAGGTGGCGCCCTCTTATGCGACGTTAACGATTAACTGTTTGCGGTTTAGGCGTTTGTTATTGTCAAACGAAAGAAACGTAAAACTGTCAGCGAAAGTGCCGAGAGTAAAGATACGTATATGTACAGTACATTAATGTCATTAATCGTAAGTAGAGTGCAGGCCTACGTTGCATGCTTTGATTTACGTTACCTAGGGTGAGCTTCTCGCCGGAATCCGGCGGGAGGGTGAATCCAAGAAGCGCCATACTTGATATCAGTACGCACGGTACTATCAGATTGAAGAAGTAGTACAAAGTCCGTCTGCGTATCTTGATTGTGAATGTCACGTCGACGTACGGCTCGGGACAGCACTGATACATGATTGTGTTCTTTTTACCTGGCATACCTGTAATCACAATGTCTCACGTTATAATCAGCACAATCGACCAATAAGCAGCCTACCTGTCCATTCCATGACAACGAAATAAATGTATCTCCGGTCACGATGAATCTTTTGACAGGAACAACGAATACAGTTATAACGTAAATTTTCTTCATTTGAAAAAAATATATGTAGATATAACTTTATCAATAAACTTATCTGATACTCTACAGTGATCATCATCTGGATGATAGAGCGACGAACAAATTGTTAATTGTTAATGAAAAATATACATATGGCAAAAATGTACAATATTGACTTTCGAGGAAATAAGATTTTCGATTTAATTAAACGGTTTTTTTTATTTTTTTCCATACGAGTCGACGGGTGGTAAAATTAGTGATTAATTAATTTTTTTTCCTCGGTTGGTAGTCCCTCATTATTAGTTGACCCCATCGTACGAATTCGTTGCAGTCGTATCGACAAACAACGCGATTTCGTGCTCGGTAGTAAAATGAAGAGTCGACATGTTGTTGTTATGACGTATCGCTGTCAAATTTTAAATGCGCACTGCCTTGAGTTCATTAAAACTCACCGATCAGGTACCATTCTCCGTTCATGATGAAATCGGACAAGTCACCTCCGTCCTCCGAGTTGAGTACCAGATCGAGCTATCGAGGTCAAAGTTTGATTAAGACAAGCGTGACCTACGGCATTCCATGACAAAGTAGCAAATGCATGCACACGTGCATTCGCGCGATAGCACTGTTCGGCAAGGTTCCAATTAAACGTCAATTATTGTCCTCGAAAGAAATTAAATTGTTGCGCGATAAAAAGTCAACAAAAAGGTAAACGACAATCGGCTTATTTTATTTCGTCGGATTAAAAATAAAATCAGGAAAAAACGAATTTTCACGAAAACTGGAAAAGCAGATCAAAGGTGCCGCGAGGTATTACGCGTGGACGGCATGGCAATTATTTTCTTGACGTGCATTGTGTCAGGAGATGTACAGTTATTTAACTTTGAACCGACTGCGAACTGCATTTTCATTAGCGCCCTGACAAGCCATACGATAATTGGGACAGGCGCGAATGGAAAATATATACAGAGTTATGCACGACATACGTACCACCTGAAGTTAGGCGGTCCATTAAATTTCATCTGATAAAGCAACCTTTAGGTTGAGCGTCAGGCGGTGCGTTTGCCCGTAAATAACTCTATATACACATACGTGTTTACGGATATTTGCCGGTTTGTCTCGATTGACAAAATACCGCGAAATTCCATTTTCACGTATACCCGTCAGCGACTGTCGTTTATTCGCATAGCGCGTTACACCGCATTTATTTCCAACGATCCTGTACACTTTCGGCCTCTTTTGATTGGCTATCTGCCACTGCCATCTCTTGTCCATGAAAAAAAAAGCGTTTCCTCTGCCATCTGCAGGCAGTTTCTATAAAATGAAGCCAACCGCGAAGTGACGTGACTGCGAGGCCCTATCTAGCTTTCAAAAAGTTCTCGAGGCCACGATGAGTCTCGTGATCACAACTTTTTAGAACAGTCAGATAGATTTAACAAAAAAAAACGACGTTTTATATAGGCCAAATTCTATAGAACGGAATTGAGCGAAAAGTCCATTAAAAAAAAAAACGAGGAATAATTGTCAGATACAGATGCAAACATGCCAAATCGAATTGATGCACATATCTAACAATTCTAATAATTCTAATCAGCTAAGCAGGAAGCATTCAACGACCAATCAACAACACGTGCTCTACCAAATAGCAAATGATTCTTTTATATAAAATTACATGGACGTCTTCATATTTATGAAAATGTGGAAGAGGTCGGGTGTAGTATGTAATAATATCACAAGAGAAATGTTCGAGAAAGTGACAGAGAAAGAGAGAGAGTGAGAGAGATATACGTATAGTAGCTGACAGATTTCCAAAATATTAAAAAATATCTATATATATCTACGTAATTCCAAAACGAAGCAAGGACGAAGTTCGAATATAAATTGCATCTAGGTAGACCGGCCGGACAAAGCCACAATATATCCCATGAAACAAACCATAAACGGCTTGCGCGATTCGTACGAATAAGAAGCTATCGCGTACCAATCTTATGTCCAGCGGTGGCTACGCCATTGCGCGATTCGATTTTCGCCACACGTATCTCTAGCATCTTTATACGCTTCGCTGTTAGATAAAAATCGTGTCTTTTCTATCCGACAGCAAAATGTTCTGTCCATTAAAATGAGCGATATACGTCCCCGTCGTTTCGCACAGACGCTCCTTTCAATATACCAAAGAGCGTCGCCGCTATAGAAACTTTTATATGAATATATTTTTATATATTTTTCACACACTCTCTCTCTCTCTCTCTCTCTCTCTTTCTCACTTTCCATCTTCACGTTTCTCCATTATCTTTCATCTCTACGACACGTTATTATATTTTTATATATTTTTCACACACTAAAATGAGCGATATACGTCCCCGTCGTTTCGCACAGACGCTCCTTTCAATATACCAAAGAGCGTCGCCGCTATAGAAACTTTTATATGAATATATTTTTATATATTTTTCACACACTCTCTCTCTCTCTCTCTCTCTCTCTTTCTCACTTTCCATCTTCACGTTTCTCCATTATCTTTCATCTCTACGACACGTTATAACCGTTCATGATCCCACTGAGGTATCAGTCCAAGATAGTAGCGATTGTAGAAGGTGAAAAGGAAAATATAAAAATTTTTCATTGCGTCAAGGTAAGTAGAGGTGTCATTGATTCTCGCCTTTGACAACAAGTACACAGTAGGTTACGTATTTAATAATGAAATGGCCATATGCATTCTTTTTTTGTACTGATGGGTATCTTAACGTATACAGTAGATTAGGTATCGCTTTATCAGGATGTACATGGTTCGGTGTATGGTCTTACATGGCTGCCCACAGACTCGTACGCAACTGCACGCATGTTCCATACGGTGCAATTGTGCGTCGAGGGGCACTCAAGTAAGAGCGCATCCGACAATCAAAGAAAAACGCCGCTGCCCTCGCACGCGCTTAAGTCGCAACTTTTAACTCTACCGTTGACTAAGGTGCGCGCATGAATGATTATCGGATATAATTTTTGTTTATTCGCGTCTCTACTCCGTACCGTAAAACGTGAGTGGGTGACATGACGTAAGACGGAATGACAAAATGTACAGTCCGAGAAGGAATGTGGCCGAAAAGGATGTAGGTGGTAATATCTCCCTGGTAGGGTGGATCGAAAAAGAATTTCCACTATCGAGTGGCAGAGGGGTAGCTTCGTGCAGCATTGGCATACGCAACAGGTGAAAGCAGGTACCGACTTCAGCCTCTTAGTTTTCAATGTCGAGTCACTTTGGCGAAATATCACGCGATAAGTGGCGGAGCTCGTTTCCATTCTTTCCTTTCTGTCGATACTTCCGACTTAAGATACTTTACGTTAAAGGCAAAGACTCGCGCACCACTTTGCTTGGTCGCGAAATATTTTCGCCGGAGCATTCTGACAAATTTTTCGTCAAACTATTGGAGAACTTTCACGTATTTCGACGTGAAGGTTATATGCCTTTCGTGGGTCTTCGATAACACGGACTTCCCATTAATGCTCGCGTATTACGTGGACTTTGGGAGACGATTTTTTAATTTTACTTTTTCACCACCTCATTTTGCTCGCGTTAAGGTGGTTCGATCGCTCGAGCACTTTCAAGATGCGGATATGAATTATTTAATATTTTCTTGACAGGTGCTTAACGGCCGTCCGTGCAAAATTTCATAATTATTTACCGTCCAGCTTACGAGATGTATGAAATCAAAATAGCAATGTCTTCTTCGAGATTTCTCAGCTATCAGGCGGTGAAAGGAAATTCAATTTCTAGAAGACGTTTCCTGTACGTCGAACGTTACTAGGATGATTTTCAAATTCGAAGTATGTTGCACATTTTTTATCTTTTTCTTTTTATTGCTATATTTGAACGATATGTGATATGAACATCTCTTTTATGACGAATATCTGTCTTCCGCTTGTATCAAAGGTAATACCTTTACGTGGGAAATATTTTGGTAATGAACGATACACGTGGAATTCACAGAAATTGGAATACTATTGTGATGCTAGGCGAACCACCTTAATGCGTTTTGAAAGCTCGCAATTTTTTTCTTACAATACACACGATTGATTTGGGATAATTTGAAAAAATTCTGTAATACAGTGGTACCTGCTTTTAAGAAAATTTTAATTTTTGGAAAAAACGATTTGTATAGTCTGGATAATTCGGGAAAAATTACACTGACCCTTTTTGTTTTTGTACAGGTTCACATTTTATTTTGTCCACGCCTCGGTTTCATCGGGGCGAAAGAGGAATAACAGAGGAAAATAAGTACGTGCAGATACCATGACGTATGTCAATGCTGATTCTGAATTGGCTGATGTGTAAATGTCGGTACTTATAAAAAAAAAAAAAAAAGATAAACGCAGAGGCTCGAGTGTGTGCGAGGCAGAGGCGTACTTAACTTAAATTTATCGTAGCGAGTACCCATTCTCTTTATTCTCCATTATACTACACGTACATATGTAACACGTGTATGATAAACGGAAAAAAAAAAAACTGAAAAATGTCCATGTACCCAGAAAACCCCTCAATAAAAACGAAAAAATAATATTTCAAACTCGAGTTAATTTTTTTGTAAAAAAACCCCAACTTGGCCAAAACATTGATAAAATAGTTCGAGCATCCTTAACTGCAGTATCTGATCGCACTGAGACTCTATAATTGTAATTATCAGATTGGAATAAAAGGAAAAAAAATGCAAAATCCCATGCAGGTTAGCTTTTTCAAGAAATCAATGGGCGTATCCTGAAAACTCAAATGAGCCCTCGTTCCAGTTAACGAATGATTTCTCGCGCGATAAAATTAACGCGAACCCCTCGATCGACCCAGAGATCAATTCGGCCGAGCCTTGATACCTTGATTAATCAATCCCCAGACTACTCATTTTTTTCAAGGGTCCAGACCAACGAAGAGTTTCGAGAATGGGGAGTCGCTCGTGGCTAGCATGGAAGCGTCACTCAGCTATGGACTCCACGGGAATTCGGGATTCGGGTTGATAGATCGTAATAAAGTATATCAGCAACTCCCCAGCGATATTCGGGAGCCGCGAAATAAAAGGAGCGGATATAAGGAGCGAACGGGAAACGCGGGGTTTAGGTAGCGAGAGCAAAAAAAGAAGTAAGAGAATTCCGTTGGTAGGGTAGAAAAGTGCCGCTTGGGAATTTCGCGAAAACGAGACGACGCCGCGACCCGATAGTGTCCGTAAAGTTTTCGCGATCGATGGAAACGACGTGCGATGAAAACTTTCCTGACAGATACGTCCAGACACGTGAGATATTTTTGGCGAGTAATCGCCAAACCTGCCAAACGAGTTGCCGCGGCACGATTTTCGAATAAAAATGACGACGGGCTGAAATTTTTATTTTGAAAAAAAAAAGTTTTTTATTCTCTCTCATACACACACATAATATACCACGATTAGCATACTCATCTCCTCGTAGTACATACACCTATGATCCCCACGGATAAGGCTGTTACGGCTTGTGTCACGCGAGTGTCATGACGTAAAATTAACGTAACGGCTTAATGCACGTAGTCACCTCTTGTGCGTCATAATGACAGACATTTGGAAGGGGCGCTTGTCCTCCTTTTTTTAGTCAAAGGAAAGATAAAGAGGGAGAGTAATTTCACCGGCAATTGACAGCGCGCACGGATCGTATCAGGTGACACGGTTTAAGAAATACATTGAAAAAGGATCCTACATCCATGATAAGTTAATTTCAATATCTGTACCGCGTTAAATTCCCTATACCGTGATACCGCTGTAAAAAGACGTCAGTCCGTGTTCTCAGCGAAATTAGGCACGGATGTAGCCGGCATGCAAGGTAAATTAAGGAATCGAGGGATTTGTGGATATTAGATAGACACTGTGTATGGGAGTTGCGGAGTCGATAGTAGAGTGACGTTGGACATGTACTCCATGCAAAATAGTGATTTTCAGCTCAGACATAATCACGTGGTCCCTGCTTTGACTGGTCGATGTTCTGTGTGAATGTAGGTATGCGGGGGTGTCTCTTTCTATTATTGTAGAGCTGTTTATTTTTGTATTCTTTTTTTTTCAACGAAGCCTCGCCTGTATAACTCTGTACGTAACTTTATATAATTTCATTAAAGCCCGCTTCTTTAGGAAGCATTTGAAGCAAACACCGGCAAGCGACATCAGCCCATTAGCATTTATGTTTCCTCTCTTCTAGGTGTTCCTCAAATATCAAACAATTATAGCCAATTCAATGTGCTCGATTTGCGTTCGGGAAGTAACGAATAAAAGTAAAACATAAATAACGTATGATCTCACATTCCTTTACGCGGTAAGGGTGTCGACGTTGGTCGTCGCGACGCCCTTACCAAGTTCAGGCCACGTGTCTTAGGCTCTATGCGCTTTACAGAAGCATTCTGTAGTTCCCGTGTTTTTCGTTGGCGACGAAAAATTTCGAATTTCATGAAATTTCTCGCGTGACGCGCGAAGCAGGAAGATTGCCGTAAATCGTTATATAGCCTGACCTTTGAATAAATGAGCGAGCAGAAAGACGTCAAGCGAATAACGTATGTACCAGTTTTGATTTCGACGTGATTCAAAATATCTTTCGAAATTAAAAATGACAGTGTATTCTCTTATTGAGCTTTCGCCATTTTTACTCTTGTTTTCTCTAATTTTATTATTTTCCTTACCAAAATAATAATAACAAATTAATTCGCGAAATCCTCATCGACAACGTGACGTGGAACGGACTGAAAAATGCATTTATCGTTAACTCCGATCGACGTCTCGCTCATTAGAAAAGTCCGACGTCCGAATGATAAATTCATCCTGTTAAGGGAAACCGGAAGGCGGTATCGTAAATGAAATTATACGTATGTAGCAGCTGATCAAAAATTTACAGGCACAAGACCTGGCCGAAACTTATGCAGAGTCGTAAAGCGTGCATAGATTGGAAGGAAATACAGACTGTAACGTGTACGGAGTAAACTTTGAAAATTTCAATCGCGTTTTACGGGCGGATTTAAGTAGGGGTGCCAACGGGGGACCCGACTAATAATTTAGCACGAAAGTCGAGAGTGCCCGAATGAGCTTGGAATTTCGTCTTGAACGTGTTTAACGTTACACCGTGTGGATCTCACTGCTGCTGGCGTTATCTATAGGCAAGAGGATGCAGCAGACGAGAACCCGGCGAGATTAGAATTTCGCGAGATGTCGAGTGCCAAAATAAACGTCATTTATGTTAGCAGAAGATCAAGCTTAGTTAGTGGCGTACGAGTTAATGATACTTCACTTTTTAAATGAAGCCCAATGCTTTCTTAAATGCTCTTGATAAATCGCTACGTCGATAAGCGAACGAGCGGGGGTCTGTATACAAGAAAATCTTTAATATTGTATACCTGCCGTGAGCGCGAGAAAGACGGACTTATGCATAGTCACACGTCTAAGAAGAGGACAGACCTACGGCTAGACCACTCTTTACTCATGGTTTCTTGCTTCGGTTACTCTTTGCGAAACTGAATGCTGTAGTTACAGCTTTTAATGATAATTAAAAATTTTATTCTTTTAAACGTTAATTATAAATATAATGTCTCGTCCTATTTTAATTCCTGCAGTCGCGTACGTCAATGTTCGTGACTTCGTTATTCTTGGGGTTCACACAGGGTAGGCAATTCCAAATTTTAACGGAACAGTCCTTTTCGCTGCCAATATACGACAGTTTACTTTCAGCGACCGGTTAACGCCTGCCAAATTTAACAGGAGCATTTAAAGTGAATCGGATAATATATTACGTAACGCCCATTCGGAAAAGATATACAGGGTGGTAAATAAGGAACATACTACCAAATGATCTCCATGATCGCGAAGATCCGGAAAAATGCTCGATGCATTTAAACTCGAGAATGATGCAAAAAATTCATTTCCAGTTCCTTCATTTTTCATTAATTCACTAATTTTATTAAACACAAAACACATTGCTTTATTTGATAAAAAATTTACATTGACAGCCAAGGTTCACTTTGGGAAACATAATCTTGCATTAAAACTGTCTTAACAAATTTTGTCAGATCTTCGTAACCGAGCAAGATATTTATGTGTACAGTTTCTAGCGAACCACCCTGTATATACACTTCCTGCGAAACGACACATTATCGATTGAGTGCATGTACACGTCATTAGTAACGAAATGTCAATTTCAACACAGAAAACCAGACTTGGCATATTTGTCTTTCGTTTCGCGCGGGAATCCGCGCTTTAACCCCGAGGCGCGTTTGCATACATGCATTGTTAGTGTAAAGAAAACAAAAAAAAAAAGAGAAAAAGGAAAACGGAAGATAAAAAATGAGTAGCACGATGACTCAACACACAAGACTGCATAAAGATCATCACCCCGTTCTAATGAGACGTGTATTAATCGTACACAGGAACGATTTAAAAAAATGTGATCTAAATTCAAACTACGTCCTACGCAAAAAAAAATTTCTAAATTTTTTATCGAACGATAAAAGAAAAAAAAACAAGATATTGAACCAAATTCATCAGACGCAATAAATCACTATCGTCCAATGTAACCCACGTCTCTACGACCTATTGGGATGAATTTATCATAGGACATTAATTGATCTATCACCGACTGCAATTAATATTAAAAATCTATCATCTAAAAGAAATTCTTTCGACATGTTATATCAATGCTCAGAAAATTGTTGGCAAAAGCACATCTTCCCTGCCTCGCGTTGTCGCACGCGAGAATCAGGGCGAATTACGAAGATTCGCGTCACCAAAGACGTCAAGTATAATGAATATCGATGCAAAGATACTCAGTGATCTTGAACGCAGGACTTTTATCTCTGAAACTACGAAGCGTGAGGAATGACTATCTATGGAGCGTTGCTATTGTGTTTGCGCTGTTGTGTCACGGTTAGAAGGAGACAGAGGATACAAAAAAAAGTAGGAGGGACTAGCAAACGGAGAGAAAGAAGAAAAAAAATGAAAAAAAAAAATTCGATAATAGATCGCAGAGCTCCTGGCATAGTAAAAGTAGAGTCGAAACGTTGGCGGACGTGAAGTGAGTCTCCCGATTGACAGCCTCACCGAGAGAATTCTTCGAGGACTCGAGTGCTATATAAGAGATAGGTTAATTTCCCGTCTTGTGCCACGACGTCTCTCTATTCCACAGCATCCAATTTCATGTTCCGTTAAGAAAAAAAAAAAAAAAAGGGATTGCAGCCATCGATTCCACAGTCGTTAAAAATATATATGTATCCAATCAAAATGTACGATTCGACTCGATATCATTGTTGTTTGAGTATAGAACGATATTCATATAAAAGACAAATAGAAAGGCCATCTCCATAAAACATAAAAACTCGGCAGTGCGTTATGACCCATTTTACAGTATTAATTATCGATCTGACAAAGGCTAGGAACGAATGATTTTTCTTTTTTCGTGATATCTTGCACCCCTCAAAAAGACCCTCTTCATCGTCCGTCACTGGTTTACTCAACTTTATTAGGAACTTTTGTTCATGGTTTCAAGGAATTGGCCATGGTGCTTTGTGTGTTAATTGTGTACGTGTACTGGAGACAGTAGTGTACCTGGTTGCCGTGGTAGGTCCAGGATCCGAACTTCATGTCACAGTGTTGGTCGTCAAAGGGGAACCAAGTGATGTCTATCTTGCATGTGCTCTTGAAGATGCCCGGGGGGACGTACAGGCAACTGCCGTTATTCGAGACCACCACGTTTGTTTGGTACGTCCCGTCGAAACCCTCATCCGCACTAGCATTTCATCATATTTTCATTATTACTCTCATTCTTTGAAAAATCTATCGGCTACTTGTAAGTCGATTTCGCAGGGCCAGACAAGATCAAGAAGTGAAAGACACAGGTTAGATTTGCGAACTTACTAGTCGCCGTAGCGTAACAGACACCGTTAAGATATAAGGGAGCGAGCGTGGTATTTACTTGGAGTGACGATTTTTAGACTTTTTGGACAATTGTCAAAGAATGAAAAAAAAAAAGCATTAATAAAACGAGTATACGTAGGGTCGTTTAAAATGACTGAAATTTATTGTGAGCTTTATTTTTTATTTTCTTTTTTTTTTCCCCCTTGATAATTCTTTTACTCCCACGCTACGTGCACTATTGCGACCAACGGCAAATATGGCGGGAGTTTTCGAATTTTTCTTTGGAATTATTAAGCCGCGGCAGTAGCGTAGGCTTTACGTGGGGGATTACACGATTTATGTTTTCGGCCAGGGTGCTGTAAATACCCAACCCGTTAGATGCTTAAACCCAATTCGTGGTGTCTCCCTTTCTTGCCGCTTCTTTTGCGCCGTCTCGTTAAGCCACGTATTTTCCTGCTTCTACATATTTTCTCATTTTTTTTTTCCTTTTCTTCCTTGCTGCCGTTAAGCTACGTAATGCCATCTCACAAAAATTTGTGACAACATTTTTTGTTCCTCTCTTTTGTTTCTCGTTTAAGTATTTCCTATGGCAAAATAGTCATAGATTTTCAGGGTGATATTTTTTTTTTCAATTGCTTTTATACTTATTTTCCACTTTTTTCTTTCTACTAAGTCACGTTATGTGTCACATGAATTTTTGACAATATCCGCTTCTTCTCACGTGTCTCGCCTTTGAATATTTCCAGCGTGAATAGCTATAGGTTTTCAGCGTGATGTCGAAGTACCCGAGTGCGAATGAAATACAAGTGAAAAATAACTGAAATGAACCAGATCAGCCAGTGATATTGAAATAGTTTGAATTCTTGGCAAGGTAAGGGGTGACAGGACTCGATACTTCCCTTTCGTTGAATATTTAGCGAATTCATTTTGAAAAAGGGGGAAAGAAGAGGGAATATTATCATGAAATACAAAGAATCTTCAACAGCGACGATATTCACTTGGAAATGAAAACTCGAAATGGCGTATACGGTAATATACTTGTCAAGTGTCTCTCATAAAACTACAGTACTTTCATATGCTTGATCTTGCCTGTGGTCTTTATACTAGTTTCATCGAAATGTCGATCTCGTACAATTTAAATTTTTTAGTTAATCATTTAATGCTCACCACGAGATTTTTTAATATTTTCCGTATTAGTATTAACATTTAATATTTTAAAAAACGTTAACTTAATTTAATAAATTATCAAAAAAAAAATTTACGTCAAGTATAATCAAACCACAAGATTCATTATTGCAACGCGACAGGGTAATTACTAATTACTTTTCTTTTTATCAAATAACAATTAAAAAATATAATTCAAATTTCAAATTAATTAAAGTCGCGCTCCGTAGACCCAAATGGACGCTCTAACATGAGAACATTGCGAGGGATACAATTAATTCAAAGCCCACCCTCTTTGTACACCAATAAATATCCACTGTGTATAATTACAAAGCTATTAGCTTGACACGAAAAATTTATTGGGGTCAAAAATAGAAGATGAAAAAAAAGACTAAAAAAAAGGAAGACAAAAAGAGTTTCATCCACCAACCCTCTCGTAGCCGACGATACAAAAATATTGCGCTGCTACAGCAGCACGAACCGTTTACGACCCTCTCCGTAATCTTCGATATATACTCCGCACAAAAAAGAGACACGTCGGCCGAGCATCCCGACGCAAACAACAATTGGGTTCATAATTAATCCCCAATTAAGAGAGTTCAGGACAAAATGAAGTACCCGCGTGAAGGCGTCGGTCCCGATTAAACGAAATAACAGCGCAATATCTGCTATTGACAATTGAACGAATCAATACGAAACCACGTTGCCCGGAAGACACGGGAGGAAAAGATACAGAAAACGATATCGAAGGCCAATATAACGAGGACATAAAAGGGACATCGGGGACTTTTGCGAAGATGATGGATTCAAAAGTGGGTCGATTGAGAATCCGCCTTGAACTCATTGCACTTACGTTACCAAGGAGCAAAGCTTTTGATTGCACTTTCAAAGACTTTATCGTATCGATAGATACACATAACTACCATTAATGATACCCGTGAAGACTGTCGATCGATCAGTATGTCCCATCATGACTCCCACCTTTCCCCCCCTCTTATTAGTGTCATTAACGTTTGATTAATCGAGCCTCAAAGTTGGCGATCCTACAGTCATGAGCACTGCTAACAATTTGCTGACTACACGGGAAGTTCACAAAGTACGCGGATAATTTGCGTAACATATAAAAACGACTGGATATCATCAGGATTCTACTTCAACTTTCGACTCTCGGGCTACTGTGCATCTTCGACAAATTAATAGTATATGGACCTGATTATTATGCGGGTCGTGTAATTTTCTTAAAGTTGGTTGCGCGAAAGAGCATACTTTCCACTACGGCGCGATTCACTTGATATTGATTGGCACGGAAGACCCCGACTTTGCGCAGAGCTTTATGGATCCTCCGTTGCGCAAACGTAACTAACGTGAGAGGAAGCATCGTCGACTTTTTTCTTCTTCTTCCTTACCTCCCCTGACGCCCCTCACACCGTATCCTCTTTCCCGCGTGGCCGTAATAAATTAACCGAGGAGCTTTCGATTCGATACTAATTCGTCCACCGTGATACACGTCAAAAAGGACTTTCGAAGTTTAACCAAAGAGTTCGGCAATTCGTGTTACTTCGAGCACTAACAATAAGTAGTTACAATGTCAGACGACTGTTGGACACTAAGTAGATGAAGAACGAATCGGGTCACGGAGTATTTAATACAGCGCGAAAGCTTTTAGCTTTATGAGACGCGTGTACGTGAAATCTTAAGGAATTGTGAAAAAAAAAACAGAAAAAAGCTTTTTAACGTCTGGTCATGAAAATCGAGTTTGATCGATAAAATCGAAATTCCATCAAATTTTTATATTCTGAATTTACCGAACGACTTGTTCCAATAATTCAAATTCACCGTGTTCAATCCGACGATTGAATAGGTCCAATTCCAGGATGTAATTTACCGAACAGTTCACTATGGGTACACGAATTGTTAACCTGTACATCTAGAACACGGAATTGCACAGAATGTAACTGGAATCTGGAACGTTTCCGTTGTCTTTTTTTTTACAATCTTCCAAGCAGAGAAATATATATGAAGAAAAGACAAAAAACGTGAGCCACGAAAAAATAAATGTTACCGTATACGAAATCCATTGACGACTGTTACCCGATGGGTCATTCTTTTACCCTAAAACATTAATCGCCATGGCATCCATACCACCGTTCGTGAATTCTGAGAAACGCTTGCGTCGATTGTTCGCACGAACAAAGACGCGATCCGCGAGGCCATTGTCGGACTTTCGGATAAATTCTCTTCCGGAATTGCTAACCCTCGGAGCTTCTGAAGCCGCGGCTCGCCGCTCCAACCGTCGCGCAACAAGTAAGCCAACCGAGAGGAGGGAGAAACTCCTTTTGTTCCACGAGGTAACCAACCTTCGCGGCATTGTGCTATGGTGTTATGCATTTTAAAATGACATAAGCTTGCGTCACCGCCACGCGACAGCGAGGAGTGCCTTTTTATAATTCCATCCCCTCCCGTTCGGGCGCTTTCTTGCTTTCTGTTTTCGCATCTTCTTTTTCCAGGTTCAGGGACGCGAGCTTTCAATTGGCGGCACTTCCGCATATGAGAAAAACAAGTTAAATATATACCCTTCAGATATGATTGAACGTGGATGAATTTTAATTATTTTTGTTTACAACAGAAAATTTTCGTTTAGTCCTACACGATTTATTAAAAAAGAAAAGACAAAGAAAAAATTTACACGCATTACACTTCATAATTATTTAACGTTCCACGATAGAGACAAACGATTTTTACGAGTGAAAAATATTTCATTTATAAAAAAATATATATTCACTTGACATGTCGCACGCTGTCATCGTAAAGTACAATAATTAAGGTCCGTAAGTTTACGTGAGATTTATCATACACGATCCCCGATGGTTTAATATATGCGATCCGACGGATAAATTTACAAGAAGATTTTGTACGCGCACGAAAATGACAAACTATACGCATGTTGCTGCGAAACTGAAATGTTTGAAAAGAAATTTTTTTTTAAATATAATTTACTCCAAAAAAATTATCAAAAAATAACCAATGTGTTCAATAGTCTTTGTAATATCAGTCACAGTAATCCAAGCATTAACGGTCGACTTGACAAACATAATAGAAATGTGTAAAAAAAGGTGCAAAAGGCATCTAGCACTGCCGTCTTAAGACGTATGGTTATATATGCTAGGAAATACGGTTTTCTGAGTTTTGATATTTATCATAGTACGGTTTAGATTGATTGAGCGAAGTACACAGAGTTAAGCTTAACTCGTCGAGTTAAGTACGAAGTTTGAGTTTGTGCTTCGGCACGGTGCTTGGTGGATTAGGCTAACTTCTACTAGGTTTAAGTAGCACATTGTTTAAACTCTGGCGGTTAGGGTTTCGTCAACCGTCGCCGCGAACTAACCGCACTCGCTTCAAGCAACCAATTTTGCGTCTCTTTTTCGATTCCTATCTGAATTAGTATACAGTGTGAAGTATCATCTCGAAACGACGTTTCAAAGGTTTTGAGCTTTGACCCTAAGAAACAAATTTTCATTTTTTCACCATTATCAAGTACCAAGTAAAGTTACACAATAATATTTTGCCAAACAAGTTGCGTACGTTAAATTGCTTTGATAGGATGGATGCAATTACGAATTAATTTTCCCACTGTATGTACATACCAGCCGCATGTTCGCTGTTACACATAAATTATATATGTATATCCTGAATTGTACAATCAACTTGAAAAGTAATACTGTTGCAGAAAATTACCAGCGATACGTATGCGAAACGTTGCCCGTTGAGTAAGTGATTACTTATTTTGTACATGCATCTATGGTAAAGTACAACGAGCAAACGGCTCCACATAAGTTTAACTGAACACGTTCATTTTTAAAGTACGATATGTACAAGTAATGTAAAATCTGAATCAACAATTTTCCACGTATTGAGTAATCGCCGTGAATTCCTACAAAATTGAATGACGTCATGAAAAATCACAATTCGATCTCAATGGCAGGGCGAAAGATTCGAATTACAATAACGACCCTTCAACGAGCTTCGCGAACCAAGTGTCAGGGGCTTGAACGATAAATTTCTGAACGCTAAAATTCAAAACTACTTAATAAACGGGCGTTTAAAAGAGTAACCAAGATTCCTCATAAATATATATATATATATACGATCTGATTAAACAACCATGACCTCGGTCTTTCGCACTCGCGACAATCCAGACCGAGTTAAAAGAGTAACCAAGATTCCTCATAAATATATATATATATATATATACGATCTGATTAAACAACCATGACCTCGGTCTTTCGCACTCGCGACAATCCAGACCGAGTGCAAGCTAAAGAAAAGTCGAATAAAATTTATGGATTAAAAAATACCACGTTCCTCACCCAAACTCCATCCAATCTCCTACAGGCGTCGAACTACCAAACTAAGAAAAGTATACTTCTTTCACGTAACTTGAATCATTGTCTACGACCCGCGTCCCGGTACCGAACTCCAACTTCGTCGACGAGACTTTAATTAATTAAAGCAGATCCGTGCACTTTGTGCCAGAGAGTATATACCTACGGACAAAACGCCCGCCGATAGCTGAACCAACTTGGTCAGTTGTTGGACGTGGTCCAGCCACTTTCCGTTATATAACTCTGAGAAAAAGAGTTCTGAAGTTAAAAGGGTCCAAAGATTCCCATACAGGCTGAAATCTGATCCTGATCAGCGAAAACCATATCGCGAATATCGTTCGACTTCGATCAAGCTTCGTACGAGTGAACGAGATTAATCACTAGACATTATACAGCCAAGCTGAAGTCACCAATCTGGCACTGAATCGCGGTTGCAATTAGATGGCTTCGAGTGATCGATACACGTGCAGTCCTGTTATTGAGAAACAGCTAGACACGCGTGTACCTACGTAGCCATACGCACGTGGGCTGTCATCGTGACCGGAAGCGGGCAATGGTCCCTGCTCCCATTTGTCAAGATGGTATTATTGAGTAATAGTGGATATACAAGATGACGCTAATTCACCCAACGATCCTTGCAGCATCCTTTAGCTATATGATCGAACGGGATATTTATCTCCGATTGGTCAAGAGGCTCGAGAGTATACGATCGATAATGGACGACAGAGGCATCTGCTATCGTGAACTCAATTAAGAGTCCTGCTTCTCTTGATTGATGATTAATGCGAGTCTCTGCCAGAGCGTGACTTTGGGTTAGGCAGATGCATCGAATTCATATACCTGTATATGCACGTGCTAGGTGTGTATACTCGGTGTGAGAGAGCTCGAAGGAGACAAGATCCTCGATAATTAACCTGATGGCAATCTAGGAGCTATTTCATTGCTGTTTACATGGGGAATACCTAGTTATATGCCAGTGAGCTGGCCTCAATAAAATTCCCTAGAATCTAGTAATCTAAACGTTTAACAGCTACCGCTCTGTGCACTATGCATTCCAGGTGCACGTATTTACATACAAACGTCTGACTGTGAGTCCGGCATAGGATCTTCGGAGACGGTTTTTAAAATTGGATTTTGAAGCGAATGCAAAATTATTATTAGGCCCGGTAAGCACCTTGGTGGATTATTGTTATATTTTTGTTTAGACTGTAGGCTGTTTAGGTCTAGAGATCATTTTACGATAGGACCCTACAGAGTAACGACGACAATGCGATTCCCTCTTGCCGATCATTGCGATCATTGTCCACGAGATATTTTCTCGATTCGCTAATGATCATTGCGCAATTGAAATTATTGACTGAGACACTGAAAATTATACGATACGTTACGTGGAATCGGATAATCGTTACTCGTGGCTTTTTGTACATCTTATATTACGCTGTAAAGATCGACAAGCGAAATGCGAGACGCAAAGTGATTTAGTGCAAAAGGAAAATCATTTTTTTTTTCCTAATATATCTTTCTCTCTTTAATGGAAAACGACAGAGCTGAGCGTCTCGCACTTAAAAGTTACTAATGTATATTAGGATATATTATTACGTAGGCATAATATTTACAAATAAAAAGGATATCTATATGTATACATATACTTTCCAACTGTATATGTATAGATATGGATAAAGATATATCTATATACAGATATATAGATATATATATATATATATATATATATACGCATATAATACAAATATATATAGATAGATATGATACTCTGCTTAGTTCTAGCATGGAGTTAAATAAACGCATGCATCAGGGGTCTCGATATTACTTTAATATAATAATAATAATAATATAAGATGCGAAGCGTACACTGGGATAAGAAATTACGTACCCTTCGATTAAAATAATATGGCAATGTTATTCGTGAAAATCATTGATATTTTTTTTGTTCTTTTTCCTTTAAAGCTGTCTTAATCAATGTGTCTGTCAAGCAAGACGACGGCAACGATATCATTCCCTGTCCTTACGCGACAGAGTATGATTAACGTCGCTTACGTGGGATTCTGAAACATTCTAAGTTCTATGAGGAGCACCCGAGAACTACCTATGGTCTTTTTCTTCTCTATTTGTACGAGCACCCGTCATCCGCCCGTGAACACTACCACGATGCAATATGCAGCCGAAGCTTTTCGGTCGCTGTCAGATCGAACGAATAGGATGAACTTTTCGGCGAAAGTATTTCCGGTCTGCTGGACAGGAGCTGTCTTCGCGAATCTTCGCGAAATTCTAGGTGCCCGACCATAGTTGATTTTCGCGATGAATAACGGCAGCAGTGAGAATTTCTAAGCGCCACTGCCGACAGAAAACTTTTACGTAATCGACTTTTCTCGGAAATTATTTCTTCCTTTGTATTACTTTCTTTTTTTTCCTTTCCTTTTACACTTCTTCCTCAACACGCAAACGGCACTGTTGCGAAATTCCTTGCGTTCCTCGCGAATCGTTCTTACGAGTCTATCCGGCTTTTCATCGTTTATCTATGTGCAGCACGTTACTGTATGTTTATATATGTACAGTATGCACATAAAGGATATATATATAGACATAGATAAAAGCGCGAGTTAGCACGAACGAATTATAGCATGAAAGAAACTAACCTCTCGCGAATTGCTAACTGCATCTACTCTTTTGTGAGTTTACTACGTTATACTAGATATAGTGCATGTAACGTCGATGTATTACAACTTGTAATGAATTAGACGGACGTTCACTTTTCACCATCTTTTCCTTCTTTAATAAAAATTCCCACGGAAAGTCGATACTCGAGAGTCGTTATATATATAATAACTACGCTAAGGTATAGACGGTATAACGTTATATAGGGTGTACGAAATACTAAAATTCGTACGTCTAGTCACAGTTTTACATAGCTGATCGCACGCTACCGTCATCGTCCCATAGACCCTTTGCTATAATAATACCGAAGGAATTTCTCCTTTTATGATTTGAACTTTGATTAGATCAGATTCGAAAGTGATTGAATAAAAAATGTCTGATTATTGGATTGGCTACAGCCACAGATATCTATAGACAATAAAGTTTCTTCGTATAATGAATTTACTTCGATTTTCGTTAACTGCGTGATAATATTGCCCATTAAAAAAAATTCTTTTAATTTCACTATAATTAATTAATTAATTTTGTCTTTTATAATGCTTCGATGCGACGCGTCTTCGTTGTTCTCTATAAGGAACACATTAATTTGGCAAATGCTACGTTATTTTACGTGAAATGTGTATCCATTCTTTTTACGAGACAATCGCGGATAACTACGTGATACGTGAACTTCCTATTTGGAGGTTAGAACTGTATATAGGTCATATGTCTGTTTGGAAAAACAACTTTCAGACGGAAGTCGAACATATTGTCATCCTGAGGACTGTATCTGATACCAATTTTATAGAGGACATGAAATTGAGCAAGATGACGTTACCTGTTGTACATAAGGACATCCGGTTTCCACAGTTTGTTCGGTGTTATTCGTAAATCCTGCACGCCGCCGTACTCGGACACGTTCCACATCAGATTGTAATCGTGCCATTCCTGAAAGACGAATCAAAGTGGGCTGATTACAATTTCAATAAGAACGTGCTCTACGTTGACTTTTAAACTTACAAAAAATATCCGGATAATGTAAATCCAGTTATCAAAGAAATACGTTGGAAAGATTAAACGAAAAATTTGGAAGTTAATGAGAATATGTAAATGTGAAAATTAAAGATTTATGTTTAAAGCGTTCGACAGTAAGTGGACATAGTGACTTTTTTTTCATAAGAAAATCTCCGATATATCCACATGAAATGTACATGGTGACATTTTTTTACTCGCATACAGAAAAAAATCACTAAACAAATTTGTTCAAATCCTAGTATATGCGTTAGGGCAATTGAGTGTTTGAAAGTGCTTCCGTCGTAAAGGTAGCAAAGTTGTTAATTAAATTTTCGAGTATCGCTTTCTTTTAGTACGAAACAACTCAACGTGCATACATATCTATGCGTAACATGTGTATAAAAAGAAAGGGCGAGCAAGGGGCGTTAGAGAAAGAAGGAGAGAGAGAGAGAGTGGGCAACACTGTGTAAATTAGTGCTGAAAATGAAGAGTTTCGCCAGCAGACAGAAAAGAAGACGTAGACGTGAGGAAAGCTACAGCTATATATGTTTTGTACGAGATAAATTTAGACACAAAAGAAACACGTGGTCCGAAATCAAATGAAACAAGGTGGACCATAGAAGATTTATGTTCACCTATATATCTTTCTCTACGGTACTTTTCTTAGAGTTTTTATTGTCCCTATTTCCACCAACCAACCCCCCCCCCCGTCCTCATACCCCACTTTCTTTAACATCGTTAATACTCATTATCGAACTTTCCACTTGAAATACCGTACTCTTTTCAAATTCTACTTGATTATCTTGCACCTGACGTTATCTTTGCTTTGCCGGTAGTCAAAGGAAGAAGATAAGAAGACAACTGCTTATTTCGGCGAGAGTAATGAAAATAATGTGGATTTTCGTGCAAACATAATAGGTACCACGTATCTGATCCGAGTGCCTTCGCTTAGGAAAATTTGGAAATCATATTAGAGAAAAGTAGAACTCGGTATATACGTGGATATGAAAATAAAATGTCCCCCGTATATAACGCCCTATATCCACTGTGCTCCCTAATGCACGCACATATACATTTCCTGAATCAGCGTACGCTTCGCATGGATCACAAAAGCCAGGAATTACCTTGCACCGGGTATGGAGAAAGGACCACGTTAAACCACCGTCTCGCGTTACGAGTTTGTTGGTAGACCTGGTTGAATTTCCGATTAGTGAGAAATGATTCAACCGAGGGCAACAATGACGCCTAAAACGGTGTCCCAGCAGTGAGGGAACGAATCGCCATGAATTTGTGTCGATGGGAGAAGGACGTCTGACGAACATGGTAGAATTGACGCCTAGAGTCAAAACAGTCTGTACCTACATAGGTACTTGGTAGGTATGTACACGCAGGGTACGCGGACTGCCGAGAGTTCACAGAGTCTGCAAGGTAGAATCAAGTAGTAGACGTAGGCAGTGAAGTTTCCATGAAAATTTTGGACCAATTGGAACAGTAGTTGATTTTAGGTTAATTAGCTCGGTGGGTGAAAAGTGGTTTCCAGTGACTTTTTGTGTCTTTATATACATATATACACGACGCATTCTAGCCGGTGTATCCTCGATCTACGAAATGAAAAAGTCCAAGAGTTTCAGGGAATGTACGAAGGTTCAAAGGCGTCAGACTAGTACGGATCGTGCAGTTTACGAAATTATTGATCTTATTAGGATAATCAGAGTTATCGGGTTATGCGGTGGAGGAGATTGACCTGAGATGGGATGGTTTGTGTGGCACAGGTTAGTACAGGGTAATATTGAAGGTAACACATTATTAGATCGGGGCGTTCACGCTTCGAGGGCGTCGCGCATGAATTTTTCACGCAAACGACATTCTGGGGACAGTGCCTTACCCTCGGAATACAAATTTCGTGTTTGAGCAGCCCTGGAAGTGACGTGAGGACCAGCCATAAGGTAACTCGTAAGATTGGTTAGCTGCGTCGGTATCGTACTTGGATACCTGGTACCCCGAGTGCGACAGAACGCATCCCGATAAATTTCTCGAGACTCTCCCGTATCGTAAATCCCGCCGTTACGTATCACGTGAAATAATAATAGACGATTCGCTCCGAGAATAATTAAATCGCACGTCGCAGAGCCGCTCGTACCCGCAAACCATACGCAGTTGTAGAGGAAATTCAAATTCATCGAAAGCCAAATTTCGCATTCCGTTCAGACATCGTCGATCAGTAGGCAATCAGCGGACACTGATTCGGTAATCAATGATTATTTGAGGTTAGGTCGTGGAAGCGTTTATTTAATGACAAACATCAACACTGCTCCTAGCACTGCAAGCAGAGTCCTCCAGAGTCAAACTTATACGTTGCGTATACATATAAAGTAATACGTAATCGTATAATACGTGTAATACGTGTATACCGAGTTAAAAGAAAAAAAAATTAACAAAGCCATTAGATACTTAAAGCGTCACCCGTTACACAATGCAAGGTACCAGGGACAAAGCAAGAGTCTCGGACCGTAAAGAAATACTCCCCGTTGCCAGTGTGCTCATTGTCCGATTTCTTTTCTCCATTACGAACAGACGGTATAAGAAATCTTCAATTCTGCCTGCGCGCCTCCCACGGGACATTACGTTATGAGTTACGATGTATAAGGTTGATTATTTTCAAATGCACACGCGAACAACCAAGGACATGGTCTCCTCGTACTCAAGGCGGCTCCCGCCCTGTTAGCACGTAAATGTAGATACTTTAGCATCCCCCGTCCTGTAGCATCCAGCATTTACTATCCGCTCTCTACCGTGTTACATAGATATTCACTTGAGCGTACTTGGTACTTTCGTGCTCTCTCGTCTCGTTGGATCCACTGAAGCCAAGGTGACTCTATCTCTCTCTCTCTTCCACTAGCGACCTCTGGTCTTTCTATTTCGACTAGACATTTTTTTATTTGACTACGCGTCTTGTCCGGTAAGGCGCTACGTTGCCGCAGCTGTTTCCATGAATAATTGACAGTCGCAAAGAGTCCGGAAGCTTTGTTGGATGAAGCACGGTTCTTCGTGGGAATTATATAAGAAAAAGAATATATGTATAATTGTATACATATATGCACGTGAGTACAACTGCTGCTTTGAATGTCTAACCCGCGTTGAAAGTAACGACCGGGAAAAGAGAAGGGGATCAAAGTCGATTTAAATTCACGGTTGAATCACATGCAATAAATTATTCCATAATTCAATCTACGACCACGCGAAGACGTACGGATAAAGACTTTGAAACGTAAAGGGTTGTCGGCGCTCTTTGTGCAAACTATCGGGAGGCAAGAACGATCATAGTTCGTGAATTCCATTATACGAGCCCAGTGCGAAATCCAGTCGTTCTAGAGGCAGGGATGCTGTACGGAATAATTTCACTGTACATGGAATTCCAGATAGGTAGTGAGGAAAATATATACAAAATACATATATGCCATCACATATGATCCGTATCACACGGAGGTCCTATATAGTATATCGTGTTAACGAGGTATATCCAAATTTCATAAATCGGAAATATGTCCGACGAGAGTTACTAATAGTTTCCTGATAATTTGAGAAATTTACAAAAATCCCCCAAAAAAAAACTATCCCAGTTTGCCAACGAGCGTTAAATTCGCGTCTAAGCCATATGCCTATAGGTAAGCGAAAGAGAGAACAGGACACAGGGACAGAAGTAGCTGGCGCGGTAAGGAGCTGCCGTTGAAAAACTTATTCCGGAAACTCGTTACGGGAGAGCTTGTTGCGCGAAATTGCCATTCGCGCGAGTTTCGCGAGACTGGACGTAAAATTCGTTCAGCCAAATGCGCCAGTTTACGTTCGCACTCCCGGTACCATAGACCGCCTGAACGTTCTATCGCCGTAAGACGTCACTCACGGTGACACTGATTTCCATTGCACTAAAAAATAATCTCTCGTCCCAGTTATCAACGACAACCACAAAATCTCAATTAAACTGTTACCAAAGTACCACTGAATATATTAAATTATATCTCGCGTCGATCTATGTATACAAGTCAGTAAAATGGGCCATACGAGATTTCACCCCTGAGAGATTCTCATGAAGCGACAAGGGGACTTAAATGCAGCTGAAGTTTCTCCCGGGTAAGTGGCTTGCTTTACGGTAGTTACGTGTGCATACGTATACGTGTTCGTAGGAGAGGGGGAAAGGGGGGTGGGGGAGAGAAGGGCGAGTTGGCAAGTACGAGAGATCCCGGGCAAATAGAAAGAGGAGAAGGCAACGTATGCGGTGGTGCTGTGAGAGGGGGCTGGAAGGGGCGGAGGGGAAGGAGGGCGTTGATACTGAAAGGAAGCCAAGTGACGAAGGGTTGTATGGGTCCTGATATAAGGTAGCACACCCCACGAGGGCCTAGGTCATGGAGAGGTACGGCCCGTTAATGTGAGTGAGTGAATGCACTTTGCACAGATTAGATCCGAGGAGAAGGACGTGTCCTCGCGTCGCATTACATCGCTCACGGCAGGGCCGGCCATAACGGGTGTCTCGAATGACATTAACGTCCTCGACTCCAGGGGCGATACCCCGACTCGATTACCCCCGACCCGAGGTGCACGTTCGTTCTCGCGACTCCCACGAGGTATCAGGACCGGCAACCTTCGTGTTTCGAGTTCAGCGTCGTGGCGATATAGACTACAGGACGACTTGGGTTCTCTCTTTTCTTTGTCTCTCTTTTTCCTTTGCTTTATCTTTCTTACTCCAGTCACTGTACGTGCACACGAGGAACTTCACGTAGAGCGACTCGGAGAATCTCAGTGACTTCGCTACGTGGCGGCTTCGCTGGCATCTCCAGAATCTCCCTGGGTCAAGAGGAGTCGATGGACGCACTGAAAATCTCCGAGACGCTACATCGGCGCCTAAAGTCGCGTATCGATAGACTTTTTGACATCGTGTACCTGTTTGTGGTTGAACGGTCGTCCTGTGTGAACGCCAATACTCTCGCGACTGACCCAGATCCTTTGTGGTGGTCTGACTATCGTATTATTAAAAATGGTAAATCGATAGTATACCACGGGTGCGTAAAATCATGCGTAGATATCGGTGGCAAGCTTTTTTTTTTATTCTCGGCTTTTCTTTTTATTTTCATCAATCCTGCCAATATCACACTAGACCACAACCTGTCATCCGCTATTTTCATTAATTCTCGACGAGCCCACGAGTCGTTGCTTTTCATTTATGTCGACCCTTAAATCTTTCAATGACAATCACGAGATATTGTTCCACCTGTCGCACAGTAGCACAGACCCATGTCAAACGTAAGATACGTCGATATTTCCACGTGATCCGTATACTAAAAATGAATTACGTAAATAACCCAGCCGAAAGTGAATATGCTAAAAAAAATTGGGAAAAAGGGTAACGAAGTGTCAATGATTCGGATGGCTGACGATGATGCTACCGGAAATGACTTTTTCGTGAATTTCGTAAAGAACGAACCGATACGAATCGAACTCAAGCAACTGCTCGGGTCCGATTATCAAACTGTAGAATTGATGCATCGAGCCTCCCCGTCCAATCGAAAGTCAATTAAACGTGCTTCCAAGTTAATTACCAGCGAATCAAGTTATTATCGGATGACTGTCCGCGACAAGAGTTAACGAAGCTTCGTGTATAGTCCGCGAGTCGCAATCAGCCGTAAACGGAAGTTTCAATTTGTGGATAGAGCGCGATAAGAATTCAACGTGTAAAACCTGTTGCACTTGTTGGCTCTGGTGTCTGCTCGATGCCCCTCTGTCTCTCGATGTGCTTTACATATCTCAATAGCTAAGACCCGAAACACGATATCTGGTTCGAACCAGTTCGCAAGCTTCATTTGCATCTGAGGCGGGAAACGCTTCCTTCCTGTCGATCGACGGAGAACGGAGATTGAACGATCCTGGGAATAGGAGCACCATCGATCAGCCAACGTTGGAGGGTAAAAGGAAGAGGACCTCAGGAAACGTCACGACGATTAACCCATTGTTTATCAATCTTTCAAATTAGTTCGATGAAAAGGTGATTTGATCATTTTTAGGGTGCACCAGGCCTGTTACTCCTAAAGAGACTAATATTGAATGACCTTCCACAAACCCGACGGGGATTCGACGTTTTCAATTAATTCCGAAGAGTAAACTTTCGAATTTTATAAAGCACGGCAAATGCCTCGTTGCCATGGCAACCACGAGAAACTCCATGGATTATAGTTTTGCCCGTAGGATTTTCGGCTGAAAGTGACAAATGGTCACTGCCTTTCAAGGAGCCTAACGATTTATCGAGCTACCGTACCTCATCGAGATATTACGCTATCTATCCATTAAGATGGTGGAAGCTCGCCGAGTGAAAGAAAACGAAAGAAAAGATTTAGTTCTTCAATTGTTTTCTGACTAAGACACTAGCCGGGAATCCCTATCCCTTTCGTACCCTGTATACGTTCCCACGTCCCTGTATACCTATATCGTATCCGTTACTCCGTTCGCGGAAGTGATGGATGACTCGGACGTGTAAAACGCGTAGCTCGAATGACTCTGGTCCTAAGGCTAAAACAAGATTGTATACAGTATTATATACAGATATAATAGATTGCAGCCGAAAGGATTTCGCAGTAACCATTCAACCCGTTCAATCCTTTAACGCTCGAATAAAAACGTTTTGGCTCTGTTGGGCCTCTCCTTAATTTAGCAGCAGTTTCCGCTCGCCGAGAAATTGCCCCGAGCCGTCATTTTTCACGGTGTCTGCGACTGATACTGATTGATCTACTATCTGTAGTTGGAACTTCGAGAATGGTTCGTTCAATCAGAGTATATGTATATATTGACGTTATACGATAATCTATATAGGGTACGAATTTGCTAATGGGTATACCGATAGATTAGGTAATTTGCATGAATTATCATATTGTCTTGATTGACCATTACAAGCTTCTACTGTATATTCCTGCAATTACAATATGGTCAGATTCTAACCTCATCAAAGAGCGTTATCGTCTCGTTCGTTAGTGTTGATAATCAAGTATCCGATATACATATACAAACTTGTCGAAGGGTAGTTATGAGGACGTGTGGCACTCACAACGGCAAGTCGATGTGTTTTTTTTTTTTCTAAAAAAGACCTAACCTTGACACACGTGGTATTATAGTTCTAGCCTAACCTAACCTAACGAAACTATTTCTTAGCCCAACACAACTCCGAGTGTCTAGCATCAACATTTTTTTAGAAAATTCGGTGTGAGTGCCGCTTTATGGTCCTGACACTATATGTTACGTATCAAATTGCTTTCATGCCCGTCCTGAAAAACACCGAATGTCCTTATAACTGCCAATACTCGAGAAAAAAAAATCCTGAGAACTACCCTTTGACAAATTTATATATTTATATATATTAATATATATAGTACTAGCCTATTGTAAATTGCCTGTTATACTATTTGCATTAATTAACTGTCGATATTCTTTCGGAATGATTGATCTTCGTAGTCGACAACACTGTGCAAATAGAAGCTAGAGCTTGCGAGTCTAAAAATGGTTTGCGTGTAATAAAGGCATACCCGAAATACCAGGTTTCCCATTTCCTACGCGTGACCCAACTGTTTCCCATTTCTTCCGGCAACCATGTATATAGGCACTGCCAAGCCATACTTTCGTTCATGGCATGGCTTTCGTTCGTCTCTTTTAGCTGTAACCTCTTTGTTCACGGAAACGGACCTTTCGTATTTCTCAAGGAAAACAAGAAACCCAATCGTCGGGTTTCGCGACGGGAGAAAATTGTCAAAATAATATTTGTATAATAAATGACGTCTGTGTATTTACCGATGACTACGGAATGTTTAGTTCGCGGATTATTTTATTGAAAGAAAAATTCGTCTTTGCATTGTGAGAAAAAAAAAGAATGCAATGAATGTTAATTTATTAATAATTAATTCAATGATATTCACTTACCAATTTCAGCCATGCATTCGTGGTGAGTATTTGGTTCTTCTCGTCCTTGAAAAATAAAAGGATTATTCTTCCATTTGTCTTTACTCGGTGTAACGAAGTGTATATACGCAATGTTTAATTCATTGACAATAAAAACTGACAGGACAGCTTTATATTTACCACCTTTATATTTAATAATTTTACAATTTAATTGTACGGCCAGTCAAAGTGTGCAGAAAAGGGAACAATATTCACCGCCCTATTAAATACTTAAAACCATGACTGAAAAAAAAATGATAGGCGTCGAAGGTATCGCGGATGGAAAAATAGCCGAAAGCAGAAATAAATATAGCGAATGAAAAAAAAAAAGACAATTCATATAGTAATTAAACGATACTCCTACACAACGAACTATCAACTATTAACACACCTGTTGCAGTCATTTAAACATTAACGAAAAATCTCTTATCGATAACCATCAAAAAACAAATTCACCGAGGTCACAACCTGCGACAGCAAAATGAAATGGCAATATTGTCCCAAGAAAGAAAGAAAGAGGGAGAATTAATTTCAACGATTTCGAAATCAAACACCTGATCGAACTTCGAACAAGAAGCCGTCGGAACGCAGCTGCAAGCAAAACACATCCGTTTGGCTAAGCGAATACAAAGCTCCGTTCGAAGGGAGCCTTTCGGATAATTTACTCCTTTGTTGCGGATAATGCAAACGCGTCAAACAAAGGCGCTAAGCGTCCGATGCGAGAAGAAGAGAAAAGAAGAATGGAGTAAGGAAAAAAAAATATAGGATGGGAGATGACGAGGAAAACGAAAAGAGAAAAAGAAAAATTAATTTAGTGGGACATAAAAGAGTCATTTAGAGGTTATGTCGATTCTGCAGCCGCGTAAGCGCTTTCTTCACTTACAATTAGAAACGACCCGGTCCGAAATGGCAAGAAGCATTTGTTGCCGGTAGAAAGGGGTCCGTGCTGAAAGCGACATATCAACTGGTTTCATGGCGGGACGAACGTTTCGGGAAAAACGTAGAAATGGACGGACGCTCGTCAGACGTTTCAGATGAGATTTGATTGTGCAAAGAGAAAAATGTTTCTCGCCGTACGAGTTCTTATTGGACTATTGGGCTTTCTTGTTAAGCGACGTCACCGTGAGATCGATGAAGATCGATCAACCTATTTCTTGGTTCCCTTCTCGCACTCGTTTCCTACTCTGCCCCCCCCCCCCCCCCC